ACCCCGGCCATGTCTGGTACTGTAACAGGGTTACACGCACAAGTGGCTACAGTCACTTGTAACTCTAACAGACACGACGTCTGTTAGAGGTTCGAAAGACTTCCTCGACCTTGGTGTAGACACACCAAAGGCTACATACATTTACGACCACCACGACGGGTGGTCCATAGAGACTTAGGATTCCTATTGGCTGAGAGCAGCATCTCTTAGCCAATGAGCGACATGCATAGCATTGGAATTCCGAAGCTGCAATTACACTTGCAATGCAGGAGGAGTTTAGCCTGCGGCAGGCTAAGCTGCATGCACATGTGCCGAGGCCACAGCCACGCCCGGTAGTGAGGACGGGAGGCCCAGAACCCTTGGACCTCTCGAGTGCTGCAACTGCTGGACCCCAGCAGTCGCAGGGAAACAATGTGCGATGCTACCGTTGCGGTAGAGTCGGTCACTTTGCTCGGGAGTGCACGGCCCCCGTGCACCAGCAGGGTGGCTATCGCGGCGGTGCCGGGCACCGTCGCAACCAAACAAAAACGCTGGATGCCAGTAGGCGCGGGGCGCCCTACTGGTAATGCAGTTCCGCGTGTCGACCTTGGACACGCGACACTGAGGACTGCAGCCCCCAGTGAGGTTCATCCTCACTGCAAGAACCAAGATGACAACCCTGACCTTGTCATCCTGAATGTGAACTCGATGAGAGCAAGCGGCTCTCTCCGTGCTTTGGTAGATTCTGGCGCGTCGAAGAACTTTGTTCGACTGCGAAGTCTATCAAGGCTTGACTTCGAGGATTTAAAGATACCTCGAAGTATGTTGGAAGTACGACTGGCAACGGGTGCCGTCGTGAAGACCGAGAAGCGCATGGTACGCGTGCGCTTCACGTATGAAGATCAAGAGTTTGTCGAGACCTTTATCGTCCTGGATCTGGACGATAAGTGTGACATTGTATTGGGCATGCCGTGGCTTGCACGGCATGATCCCGTCATCGATTGGGAGAAGCGCACTCTCGTGCGCTTCGGTCGCGACAGAGGAACAGTGAGCGATGGCCCTGTTACCGCTACGCACACACCGACAGATGCGCGCGACTCCCCACTCGAAACAGCGCCTAACGCCGCTGTCCCGGAGCGCTCTGGGCGCGCAAGAGTCGGCGTTGCTGCCGACAACTAATGAAGGACATGTGTTGACCTCGGAGATCGACACCCGCTTTTCAGCGAATCAGGAAGAGTCTCCGGCCTCAAGGGGCACGGATGGCGCAAGCGAGTCACACGCCTCAGCCGTGGAGGCTGACGCGAATCTGATTGGATCAGGTCTGGCCAATAATAAGGGCCAAGGTGACATAACGCCGTCGACTCCGGAAGTCGATGGCTTGGGTGAATTTGATTCGTCGGCTCGGGAAGCCGACGCACCCTCCGTAATGGAGGGCTCCGCCAATAACAGGCGTCGAGGTAAGGATGGCGTGTCGACTCCGGGAGTCGACGCTGCAAGCGGTGCGGACGGTTGCAAACGTTCCGCACCGGAAAAACTTGCATGCTGTCGTGCAGCCGGGCTGCACGATGAAGCGCCGGGCGACCAAGCCGGGCTTGAAGTCGCTCGCCCGCGGGAGGAACCCGCCGGCGGTACTGAAGAAGAACACCCGTCCACGGCTGGGCCTGGACGGGGTCAAGAACCAAGCGGAGCCGGGCTCCACAAAACAAGAAGACGGCGCATGCGAAGGTCGCTACGCAAGTCTCGGCCTGGGGCCGAGACGCTACAAGGAATGTCTGCCGGGCAGACGGAGGCTGAGAAGCCGGACGTGGAGACGTTGAACGTCTTGACGCGTACCTGTGCCGGGTTCCGGTACAGGGAGATGACTCTCGCTAACCCTCCGACGCAAGTGTCGGAGTTGACTTCGCTTCCAGTCATGAGCTGGAAGCGCTTCGCGCGTGACTTGCACGATGGACGCATCGAGCAAATATGCATTCTCTCGGACACCGAGAGAACGAAGAGCGAGAATGAAGAACTGAGGCAGTTCTTCACGGAGAACACCACTGAGAGCGAGGACACTCTCTGTGCGAAGACTAAGAAGAAGCGCTTTGAAGAGCAGAGCTGGGACTCATTGAAGACGAGCCCCTACTACGAGATCTTACGGGAGTACGCGGACGTACTCCCGGAAGAGATTCCTGCGGAGCTTCCGCAGGATAACGCATCCAGCACGAGATTGATCTCGTGCCGGGGACGAAGTACTGTGTCACGCGGCAGTGGCCACTGCCGCGAGAGCAGGTCAAGGCGATCGACGACTTCTTTGAGAGTCGTCGCAAAACTGGACAAGTGCGGGAATCGAAATCCCCGCACAGTGCTCCGACGTTCTGTGTCAAGAAGCCACAGGGCGGTTGGCGCATCGTTCATGCGTACAACAAGCTGAACGATGCGACGATACCGGCACAGACACCGATACCGCGAAAAGATGTCATCATCGATTCGATGGCCAGGAGCACTATCTACAGTGCTCTTGATCTGCGCGATGGATTCTATCAGATCCGCATGCGTGAGAGCGATATCCCTCTCACGGCTGTGAGTACGCCGAGCGGCATGCTCTGGGAGTGGCTAGTGATGCCACAGGGTCTGAAGAACGCCCCTGCGACCGTCAACAGGTGCGTGGCGCACTTGTTGCGCTCGGTGCGCGACTTCGCACCGAGCTACTTCGACGATGTGTTCGTCCACAGCCGGGCTGCGGACGGGATGAGCGATGTTGAGATGCACAACGTGCATCTCCGGAAGCTGCTTGCGCTCATGCGCAAGCCCAAGCTCTATGCGAACCTGAAGAAGTGCATCTTCGGGGCGAGCGAGATACCCGTGCTCGGGTGTCTCGTCGGGAAGAACGGTGTCCGCCCTGACCCTGAGAAGGTTAGAGTGATCAATGAGTGGCCGACGCCGTCGAACGTCAAGGAACTGCGGCAGTTCCTTGGCTTGGCCACATACTTGTGCAAGTACGTGAAGGACTACGCGGGCATGATACGCCCGCTGTCACAGCTCCTGAAGAATGACGCCGAGTGGGTTTGGACTGCTGAGTGTCAGCAGACCTTCGATGCAGTCAAGCGGGGCTTGACTAAGGCGCCAATCTTGGCGGTGGCCGACCAAGATCGTCCATTCCACGTTGTGTGTGACGCATCCGACTTCGCAATCGGATGTGCGTTGATGCAGCACGATCACGAGGGTCGTCTACTACCAATCGCGTCAGCTGAAGCCAGCTGAGCGCAACTACCCGGTACATGGCAACGAACTCCTTGCCATGAAGTACGCACTCGCGAAGTTCCGAGTGTATCTACTCGGAAGCAAACCGTTCGTGGTCTATACAGACCACGCGTCACTGCGGACAGCTGTGAAGTCGCCGCACATCTCGCAACGGATGGCGAGATGGCTCTCATTCTTCGCAGAGTATAACTTCCAGGTTGAGTACAAACCCGGAAGACTCAATGTGGTGGCCGACGCGCTCTCGCGTCGACCTGACTACGCCACGACTGATGCCGACGTCAATGCCATTGACGCCATGCGATCGAGCACCCCGACGTCGTCACTGTTGGACGACGTGAAGGTCGCGTACGCGCACGACGCGGACGCGAAGCTCTTGCTGGCCTACGGCTCAGCGCCTTCTGACAAAGCTCGTCAGAAGCTGCCGAAGCATCTTCGTGCTCGTGCACACCGTTATCGGGTGCACGACCGGTTTTTACTCTATAGTGCAGTCGACGACAACGCGGACCGCGTTGTCGTGCCCAATGCCCATGACCTGCGACTCAGGATCATGTATGAGTATCACGATGCACCGCCTGCGGGGCATCCGGGCCGTGAGAAGACATACCTTCTTCTCACGCGAGACTTCTACTGGGCCCACCAATATAAATGGGTGCGCAAGTACGTCCCTGCTTGCGAGGTTTGTCAACGTGTGAAGCCTGCGCCTTTCGCGCAGGCTCCCTTGCAGTCACTACCGACTCCACGGGAGTGTTGGCAGTCCATGTCTTTGGACTTCGTGTTCGGTCTTCCCCCGGACAGCCAGGGGAACACGGGCGTTGTGGTCTTTGTTGACCGCTTCAGCAAGATGGTACATCTTGCTGCGGTACCCGCTGAAGTGACTGCGAAGCAGACGGCGCGTCTGTTCGTTGACATGGTGTTCAAACACCATGGCATGCCGATCGACATTGTGTCGGATCGGGACCCGCGCTTCACTGCACACCTTTGGCAAGAAGTGTTTACACTTCTTGGGAGTCAACTTTCGATGTCGACTGCGGACCATCCGCAGACGGACGGGCAGACCGAGCGCGTGAACCGCGTGCTCGTAGACGTGCTTAAGAGCTACGCTCACTCGTTCCAACACTGGAGCGAGTGTCTGCCGATGGCGGAGTTCGCCATCAGCAACTCGGTGCATGCCGCGACCGGGCATACACCGTTCTACGTGATGCCATCAGGCACCCACGCCTCCCGAGTCTACTCGGGATGGTGGCTCCTTCCTTAAGTGGGGGAGGATCTACGACTGCAACGCAGCAGCCGCAGAATGCCGCTGACACTTGCACAGTGTCAGCCGCGACTACGCGCAACAAGAAGAAGAAGATTGGGGATTGTGCAGGGCACAGACACCGCGAAGACGAACGCAGAGGCCGGGCCTACGGCTAGAAACGAGCTGAACGAGTTCAGCTCGGGCGCAATCAACTTCGTGCAGCGCAGACAAGCCGTCATTCGGTTTGTCCAAGACGCTATTGCAGCTTCTGTCGACTGACAGAAGCTGAACGCAGACAATGTTGGTAGGGGCAACACTAATGAATTCAAGAAGGGTTCATTAGTTTTGTTAGCAACTCAAAACCTGCCTAAACATGCAGTTTCCGACTTCGGGGCGAGCAAGCTCGCTCCGCGCTTCATCGGGCCGTTCACAGTGTTGGCACGCCACCGCAACGCCTACACGCTAGATATTCCATCGAGCATGCGCCTCCATCCGACCTTTTACGTCGGGTGGCTGAAGCCATACCAGCTGTACGAGCCACCTAGCTCGGCTGGCCCGAAGCGGATGCCCCAGCGGGAGCAAACCTCTGCTCCAGCGCGTGAACGCGCTGGGCCAAGCGTGCGACGCGACCTCCCACGTCGACAGAGATGTCCGACGCGGTCTGCGAGGCCTGAGCGACTTGAGCCCTCAGGATCGCCTCCTCCTGCTTCAGAGCGGCGAACTCACGGCTCTGAAGCTGCTCCACAGCAGCGACTCGCTCCTCGAGCGCCGGGCCAAGGTCAACCCCAGGTTGATCATACCCGGGGCGTGTTCCCACCACCACCGCCTCCGATCCGCGACGCCCGCGGCTCAACACGCTGGATTGTTGAGCGTATTGTGGACCATAGTATCCCGAAAACGAACCGGCAACCGGTTCGTTATCGTATTCGTTGGAGAGGGTTTCCGCCCCACCAAGATACATGGGAGCCGCGGGACGTCCTGCTGCAGGACGTTCCGGAAATGGTGAGGGCGTACGAAGCTCACCACGCACTGCCGACGCGAAGGTAGTGCGAGCGCTGTCGTCACCTACAGCGCCCGAGGTCCCACGATCGTCGCGTTCCTCGCGTGCCAAGAACTTGGCACGGAGATCCTTGAGACTCTCAGGTACACGAATCGTCGTGTACCCGTTTAGGTCGCGGTCGCTGAAGCGCACCGCACCCGGAAGACACAACGTGCACTGATGGCCTTCGAGCACAGCGCATGGAATACCAGCGTCCACAGAGGATCTGTGGAGCTGCGCCAACCTCCCGCGCGTCGAGAATGTCTCGAAGCGCTCACGGGCATGCTTAACCCGCTCGCGGTAAGCAGCCGGTTTCTTGTTGAAGTTCTCAACAAAAGCATTCCAACTTTGACAAAGTGCCTGCCACTCAGGCACTTTGCTGCGAGAAGAGGTCTTCTTGCTGGATAAGTACCGGAGCTCGTGGAAGAGCCCGATGCAGTAGTCGCACCTTTGATTCGTTAACGGATCAAAGTGCTGCTCCTCCGCAACAGCATCGTCGTGGATACCGCTGCATACGTACAGCGGGATTTCATTTGGAGGCACAGTGTTGCTGTGATCTCTGACGCAGACGGCATCCACGGATCGCGCGCTGCTCAGGCAGCGCGCGGGGAACTTGAAGACGCCACCTCACGCGGGGAGCTTAAAGCCCCAGCAGCAGAGAGCGGAGTGTCGCTCTCGCCGCGCGAACGCTTCGAGCTCGAAGCGTCCGAGTCGTCTCCTTCACGAGGGCGTCTCGACCCGGCTTGCGGGTCGAGACTATCGCCGTCGATAGACTCATTGCGCTTGCTAGAAGAGGCCTCGCCCTCTTCCATCTTCACGTCATCGTCTTCGTAGTCAACGGCGTCGTTGACTACAGAAGAACCTTCAAGGACAATCTCTGGTTGAGTTGTCCCCGCCGCAGCCTTGGTAGCAAGAGCGTCACGCTTTGCTTTGAGACGCTCGCGGTACACGGGGATAGAGAGAATCTCTATCCCAGCGGAGGACTTCCCCTCTGCTGCAGCGTCGGTCTTCTTCTGAGGCGAGCTCATTGCGGAATGAGCTCGAGCTTTCTTTCTCCCAACGTGAAGAATTGACGAATGGTCAATTTCCTGATTGACGTGCCGTGACTCGGCGCGTCTATCCTTGAGGGGGGGATGGTGTAACAGGGTCACACGCACAAGTGGCTACAGTCACTTGTAACTCTAACAGACACGACGTCTGTTAGAGGTTTGAACACTTCCTCGACCTTGGTGTAAGGTACACCAATGGCTACATACATTTACGACCACCACGACGGGTGGTCCATACACATTTAGGATTCCTATTGGCTGAAAGCAGCATCTTTTAGCCAATGAGTGACTTGCATGTTAGCAGAATGCTGCGAACCAGCCGTTGGCAGATTCCTAGTTTAGAATATTACATTTAGAGGAAGTCAGAAACATAAAACAAAAATAGCAGTTCTCATTTTTAACCCAAAAATATTATTTGGGTCGTTTATTTAGATCAATCTATACTCGGAGGCCCGAGTATAATTAACTCTAGCTTAAACTACGCTACGCTTCCTCACACACGTGCGCGCACGTGTAAGCTAAAGTAGTGAGCCAAAGTAGGCCCATTACAGGTACCCCGATCGAGCAACTGGAGCAGGCGTACGCCCGTTGTATGCGGTTGAATGCAGAAGAGTTGGATTACGAGCCAGAGGTCTACATCCATGAAGGCAGTGACCTGCTTTCCCAACTGCGCGACGAATTGGCCCTGATTCCCGAATTGAAGGATCTCAGTCCAGAGTGTGACATCGAGAAGGCTGACGTTGGGGAACCGGGACGAACGACCCAAATCGAGGAAGAACAACTGCGTGACATCCTGAACGCGCATCGCACAATTTTCTTAGGTGATGGAAACGCAGCGCCGGCACCTGCTCGTGGGATCGTGTGTGACCTGGACGTGGGCGATGCGAAACCTGTTGCTCAACGTCCGCGGTCGATTGCCCCGAACCTGTTTTCCAAGGTGTATGAGCTGCTCAAGAAGCTCCTGGAAACAGGCCTGATTGAGACGTCCACGTCTGCCTGGGCCTCTCCTATTGTCATCGTCCTGAAGAAGAACGGGGTTGACTTCCGGATGTGCATCGACTACGGGGTTGTTAACAGTTTCATCCAACTTTCGAATTACCCGCTGCCCCTGATTGACGACCTTTTGATCGGTTTCGAGAGTGCGATGTGGTTTATGAGTCTGGATATGGCGAGTGGATTCTGGGCTATTACGATGACCGAGCGTGCGAAACTAATTTCGGCTTTTGTGTGCCCGCTGGGATACTATCAGTGGGTACCCATGCCATTCGGCCTGAAAAACGCCCCGCTCATCTACCAAGCCATGTTGAACAACTGTCTCTGGGGATTTGTGAGATTGCCACCCGAAGAAGAGGCCAAGGTGGATCCGGACGTATTGGAGTTCCTGAAGCTAGACCCCTCCGATCAGGATGAAGCGGAGTGGATTCAGGCTGAGCAGAGGGTGCCTGCCCTGACCGATGTCATGACGGTGGTCAAGCGGAACATTCCCACGCCACCCCAGATGGGATCGGTGCTTGGTCGAAGTTCCTATATCGACGATATTGCTCATGGGGCGGTCACCTGGGATCAACTTTGCCAGGAACTGAATGCGCTGCTTTTCCGGTAACGCTACTGCAACATCTCGGTTAGCCTGCCTAAAAGCGAGTTCGGGAAGTTGTCTATTCCGTACCTCTCTCACGAGATCAGTGCAGAAGGGGTCCGGGCTACTCCGAAGATTGCGAAGGGTGTCCAAAACCTCCCATTCCCGTCGACCCTGAAAGGGGTCCAATCGTTCCTGGTCAGCCTGAATCACTACCACAAGTTCATAGAGGATTTCCCGGTGGTGGCGGCTGCCCTGTACGAGTTGACGGATGACCAGATCCGGGCTGGACGAGACCTCGGACAGGCTAAGGAGGCCTTTGAGATCCTGAAACGCAAGACCGTGTCAACTCCGCTGCTCAGACCCCCGGACCGGACGAAGCCATTTGTGGTCATTCCCCATGCCAACCAGTGCGCAGCTTGCGCTGTCCTTGGCCAGGAATATGACGGGGTGATTCAGCCTGTCCGGTACACGGGGCGTGTCCTGAACGACGCAGAGCTACGTTACCACATTGCGGAGAAGGAAGTCGTTGCAGTCCTGCGGGTTCTGGAAGTGTTCAAAACTATCGTCCAGGGCGCCAAGAGTGTGGTTTATTCAAGGTATTCTGTCCTGAATTGACTGCTCAAATCCAAGTCGGCCGACGGTAGGTGCGTGCGCTGGGGAGTCATCCTGTCTCAGTGGAACCTGGAAATTCGGAAGGTGCAGCGGAACGAGGACGGACTTGCTGCCATCATGGGAGCAGGCATCACGCCACGCGAACACCTGAATCAGGTTGCTCAAACCCTGATTCCGGCCAAGGGGCGCGTCAAGGCGCCACCTGTAATCAGCGTGGAGATGCTGGATTCAGACTACCAAGGATATGTCCTGAGCTTCGACGGCGCTGCGAAAACATCTACGCGCCAAGGAAGTTGTGGATGCATCATTTGGGAGCTTCCAGACTGGCACGTCCTGACCGCACACGGTTTCATCCTGGATGACGTTACTGGGAACGACGCCGAATATCATGGCCTGCTGAAGGGTCTGGAACTGGCGTCTGAATGTGGGATCCAGGATCTGGTCGTGGTGGGCGATTCCAGGATCGTGATTCAGCAAGTTCAGGGACTGATCAACTGTAATCAGCCCAATTTACAGCACCAACTCGCCGAGTATGAAGTTCAGAAGGACAAGTCCAAGTCGATCAGGCTGGTCCATGTCAAGCGTGACTACAACCAGGCTGCAGACTACCTGATGTCCAAGACTCTGGCACTGGGTGAGTCGTGGCAGGTTCATTACGCCCAAGAGCTTCTTCACCTGGAACGTGTGTCGAAGATCCAAGAAAAGCTCATGAAGACGGTTGTGGTGCTGGACGAATCAGCCCAGATTGAGGTCAAACAGGACGGTCCGAACCAGACTGCTCTGGTTGCCATCCAGGAAGACGAGGGTGTTTCGGGCGTGGATTCAGACCCGTTGCCCCTGGCCGCTCGTGTCATGGCAGCGGTCACTCGAAGTCGAGCCGCCATGGAGTCCGAGGATCGGGCCCCGATGGGCCCACTCGAGTATCAGGCTGAACGGTGGAGACGCACCAAAGCGCATCAGGATCAGGACAGCCAGCTCGTTGAGATCAAGAAGTTTCTGAATGGTGAGTTGGAAGACTCCTCTCACCCTCAGATACGGCGGATCTCCAAGCAGGCTGAACTTTTTGCCCTGGATGCAAGAGGTATTCTCTACCGCCTGAGTCGGGCTACTCGGGATCGACCCAGGGACATGAATGATGAGCTCAGGCTAGTCGTGCCTGAATCTTTGAGGGCGGGCGTGCTGCGTTACGCCCACGAAGATTTTCAGGGTGGTCACCAGGGTATTATCCGGACCCACGAGAAGCTCCGATCAGAGTTCTATTGGCATGGTATGTACGCCGATGTGGAGGCGTGCGTGAAAGAGTGCACAGATTGTGCTAGCGGCAAGGGGCGCCCGCCTAATCCAGGCCCGTCTCCCGGGAACATTGAACCTAGGCGACCTTTCGAGGTTGTATCTATGGACTTTGTGACTCATCTGTCCAAATCAGAGCGTGGAAACACGTTCCTATTACTATTTCAGGACGACTTTTCCGGATACGTGATGTGCACGCCGATGGGCTCCACAACTGCCCAAGATGTTGCCGAGGCCTACGAAGAGCGGGTATTCAGGAGGTTCGGGGCGAGTTCAATGCTGCGTCACGACCAGGATCCTAGATTCATGAGTGAGGTCTTCACTCGGTTCCGGGACCTCCTGGGTAGTAAGCAACGAGCCACCCTGGCCTACCGGCCCCAGGCTAACGGCCAGCAAGAACGCTCTGTCCAGACCGTGGTCAGGAGCATCCGTGCCTACGTGGCCGAGGTAGACCAGAGTGACTGGGACGAACATGCTGAAAGGTTGATGTTCGCCCTGAATACCTCTTTCGATGGAACCAGGCTCGACACTCCGTTCTACCTTGTCCATGGATGGGATGCCCAGGGTACCGTGTCCGCCATGCTAGGGCCTAAACCGTCCAGCCTTCCTGAACGTACGGCCTACGAGTGGCGAAGGAAGTTTCAGCGAGACTACAGCTACGCCCAAGCGTGTGCGGAGGACTTGCAGAAGAAAGCCAAGAGGGCCCGTGCGGAGGAGCAACCAGGAAGTGGCGTGAACTGTCGGACCGGATCAAGGCTGGATTCGAGATTGGAGACGCAGTTTGGCTCTATATCCCGAAAGTGCAGTCTGGCTTGAGTCGAAAACTCGCTCACCTTTGGCATGGCCCGTTCCGAGTGGAGGAGATTCAGGACGATTTCCGGGTCAAGCTCAAGATTGAGGATAACGGTTACCGCGTCAACCCTTGGGTGCACATCAGCCGCCTGAAACCACGAGCACTTTTCCAAAGCGGCCGACCGCTGAAATCTAGGTGGAAGAAGATGACGACTTTGACGCGGCACTGTCACCAGAAGACAGTTGGGAAGCAGACAACCAGAACCAGGAGTATGAAGTCGAGAAAATCCTGGATCTGCGCTGGACGAAGCGTACCCGCACGTCGAAACGTGTGCGAGAGTACCTCGTCAGGTGGAAGGGCTATGATGGCCCTGAATGGTTGCCGGTGACTCAGCTGAATTGTAGGGTGCGCTGGCGCGGGCACGTTTCCAGGCTATGCAAGCCGGAGACGATCACCCCAACGTTCAATAGCCCTGGTTCCAGGCAGCCCGAATGGAAACAGACCGTCGAATTGTAAAACTGCTGAAATTGCCTGATTTTGATGTGATCGGAAGCTGATTCAGGATACGAGTGTGGAGCCAAGCCTGTATGTGCGCGATTTGGAGTTGTTCGGGAGATGATGATGAACTTGGATACGAGTGAGTGGAGTACGCGTGCAAGCTGCAGATGTAGGATGAGCATGGAGTGATAAGTTTTGGATTTCTCCAGCACGTCATTCAAAGAGAGCAAGTGTACGGCTGCCTCCGGAATATCATGACGGCTCTGGTTGTTCGGTCCAGGGCTGGCCCGTGCGTCTTCTCCCGAATCTACCGGATGTTGCCCTGAATCCGGGTTCGTCGCGCCGCCGGGGGCTTTAGAGGCGCCACTGTCGCTCGCCATGTCCTCCTCCTCTTCTTCCTCCTCCTCCTCCTCTTCGTCCTGATCGCCGAGCTCCTCGTCAGCTGGATCCACCACCTCGCGGTCCAGGTTGCCGTCAGCACGCTCCATGTCGACGTCGCTCTGGTCGCCGCCCGCGATCGCGCCTGGTGCAGCAACCGCAGCAGCCGAGGCGCCTGCCGGAGGGCGCGCTGGAATCGTCGGCGTCGTACCCGCGGGCGCGAGCTCGCTCATCGGGATCGCTGGCATTAGCGTGCAAGCCTCCAGCGACGACTTCACCAGACTCATCGGAGCCGACAACATCGACGTCTGGAAGGCTCCCGTGTGCGCAGCCCTCGACGGAAAGCAGCTACTCGGCTTCGTGACGAAGCCCGACTACGATGGTTTCACCGAGGACAGCGGGAGCGACATGTCCGACGCCGACGACCCGCCGAAGACCACGCTGGCAAAACGCCTGAGATCGACTCCGACGCCGCTGGCTACGACAAGAGTGACGACGATGACAAGTGACACGATGCGGCTCCAGATTTCTGCCCGAGCCCCACGTTGACGGCCTGGTTCTAGCTGGATCCAGGATCCAAGTGGCGGGAAGAGCCTGGATATGCTCTCAGCGCCCTGAATCAGGATGATCAAGGTGTGTCCAGGCTGGACCAAGATTGATGACCCTGAAGGCTGCCAGCCTGGACCCCCCCCCCCAGCCAAGATCGAGCCAGTCATGCCACAAGAGCCGAAGACGTGCCCGACCAAGCTCGTCGATGCCTAAGCTGCCTGACCAAAGCCCGTGTATCCTGAATCGACAACGTGTATCCCGAATGGACGACTCTCCAAGCTCCAAGATTTGACCATAGAAACCAAGACTTAACGACCGACCAAGCCGACCGTCCAAGATCTGCTCGGCACATGGAACCTTGAACTCCCTCCCAGCTGTGCTGCCGATCCCCGCTGGATCTTTGCGACTCAACCGACGACAACCTATACTGAAACCAAGATAAAACTTCCAAGACTGCATGTTACGATTAGTGATAGCCTACAAAGATAAGACCAAACAGAGTTCGTTTTTCCTGCTACATCGCAAGTGTCTTCGGTTGGGAGCCAGGCTATTCAGAGCTGGTTCAGACTCAAAGGAGCCTTGTGTCTTTGGTTCTCCCCTTGCAGTCAGGGCACCTCGGCTAAGAACGTAAGGGTCGTGTGTGGAGCTCTCATAGTAAGTATCAAACCAAGTTAAGGCGAGTACCTGAGCTGTCGTGCGGCCAGGGTTGATAAGCTTTATTTCATATTCTAGTTGGGGTGTTTGTCCTGGACAGCACTGCCATTTCATATTAAGCTACTCCTAGGGCGGTTGAGGTAGTCACCACCTAGTGATTTGTCGATAGGCTACTGAGTGATAGGAAGGACTGTGTTTTGTATTGATTCGGCTTTTTCCCTCTTGATTGAGGGTGGTGCGCGATTGATTGAGGGTCTTGGACTTGCCAGTGTCCTGGATCTACCATCTTTGTTGACTGGTGCGTAGGGCCCACCGTCCAAGGGCCAACCAAAGAATAAGTGACGGTTGTGTGTATTGTATATTTGTGTATGACTCTGTATTGTTAAGGTTATCTCTCCGGATCCAGGCTATGAAAGCTGCGTTCTGAAGTGTGCGTTGGCTCCGCTTCCTGGTCCTAGCGATATTATCCTGTTTCCCGCAACCCACGCAGTGCAAGTCTCACGTTCGAAGACAAACGACACCCAAAGGGATTCCACAAAAAACACACGCCACCCATGACAACACCAAGTGCTCGTCCAGGGTTGTTTCGAGGGGACAAGTCTAGATCCTTTTCGGGCCACTGTACACCTGAGCGGCAAAAGGCGTTCGCCCACCTCGCCTCACAAGCCCAATCAGGCTCTGACGAAGACTCAAGCGCAGGAGGTGGTGGTGTGTTGCTGCCACGACTCAGAGAAGATTGCAACGATGACGACGGACATCCGCAGCTCGTTCGAGCCGAGCCTGCTTGATGTTCTGTGTGGGGAATCAACAAGGCGGAGCTGACCAACGACTTACGGTTGGGCAAGATTGACGTGATCCTCGCGACGGTGAAGATCAACACGGTTCCCAACGTTGCGGCGGAGTTCAAGACGCCGTCCGGATGAACCTGCAGGAGAGCGATGTACGTGAGCGAGTGATACAGTTTTTCAGGTCAGGCAGGCAGGTGATAGAAGAACACGGCTGGTCTGAGTTCTTTTTAGACCAAGAAGGTTGAAGTTGAAGTGCAAGTTGTTCGTAGCTTCCATCGAGCCGCAGGCGCTGCGTGAAGAGGTAGAGGCGATTCTAGCGTTACAAAATCGCGCTGCGCGCTCTGATGAAAAGGTGCTTTTCAAAATCATATTGGAGAAGGCCCTCGAGCATGAGAGGGATTTTCAGAGACGAAAGCGACAGCGAGAGTCGACCCGTGCTGGAGGAAAAGGTGAAAATGCGCGAGAGTCTGACCGACCGAAGAAAAAGTTGAGTGTGAAGGAAGCTCACGTTGCGAAGACCGGACCGCCCCCAATGCTGCGACCGGAGGAAAACCTAGTAAGCCGTCTCAACCAGAGAAACAACGGCTGGTGTCGGGTAAGCCGGATGGTGGATGCCTGAAATGCAAGGGCGACCACTGGCTTGTGAGATGCCCAGTTGCAACACACGAGGAGAAGACGAACCTGCTCCGACAGCAGCACGAGCGCCGCAATTGTGAGAAGGACGAACGGAAGAAGACCGTGCAAGCGTGAAGGCTGAAGCCCATCAAGGAGTTCTTACCTGGACCTGTGAAGCGGGCGAGCTAAACGGAGTGCACTCAATGCCCTATTGCGTTGATTCGGGGGCTGATATTAGCGTCATCAGTAAGACAAAGCTCGCTGAACTGATGGCGAAGGATTCAGTAGTACGACCGGTTGAACTTAATGAGGAGGTGGACGTGAAGACTGCAGGTGGACATTTTCTCCGCGCTAAAGATTACGTTGAAGTGAGGTTGCAGAATAATACAGCGGCATATCCTGTTTGCCTCACGACGCCGGTGAAGTGTTTGATTATTGACGAAGAAGAAAATGAGTTCATCAATGGCAAGGATGTATTAGCTACACTAGGAATTGACGTGGATCTTCAGATCGAGCAGCTCGAGCAGCTTGTGATCCATGGGTTCATTGATGACGAAGACCCTATTGACTGCGACGATGATGTCGAGATTGGTGTGGAGTGTGATACCGATGTGAGAGCAGCAGTAGAGGAGTTATTGGATAAGGCGATCGAGAATGGTTTTCCGCGTGAGCGACGCGGTGAACTACTGACGATTGCGCTGATGTACGACATTTGGAGGCTGCGGCTTGGGGGTTACCCACCTGCCAAGGTGCCGCCGCTTCTTATTAAGCTGAGGGACGGTGCTAAACCCCAGAAGTGCAAAGCGCGGCAGTATCCACCGCAGTTGAGAGAGTTTTTGCGGGATTTGCCGAGCTGGAGCGCATGGGTTGGGTCTTCGAAACCCCGCAGAGTCGATGGGCCAGCCCTGCATTGCCTGTACGCAAGCCGGGCTCAGACGAATATCGCCAGACATGTAACGGGGTTACACGCACAAGTGGCTACACTCACTTGTTACTCTAACAGATACGATGTCTGTTAGAGGTTTGAACACTTCCTCGACCTTGGTGTAAGGTACACCAATGGCTACATACATTTACGACCACCACGACGGGTGGTCCATACACATTTAGGATTCCTATTGGCTGAAAGCAGCATCTTTTAGCCAATGAGTGACTTGCATGTTAGCAGAATGCTGCGAACCAGCCGTTGGCAGATTCCTAGTTTAGAATATTACATTTAGAGGAAGTCAGAAACATAAAACAAAAATAGCAGTTCTCATCTTTTACCAAAACCCGCTACTTGGAGTCTTTATCTTGTTTAAAGTATACTCGTGGATCTCGAGTATACTTAACTCAAGTAAAAGAAACCTACGGTTCCTCATACACGTGCGCATACGTGTAAGCCGTAGTAGTAAGCCAAGGTAGGCCCATTACAAGACAAGTGACTATCGCGCCGTGAGCGCGGAGACTGAGACCGCGGCTGGTGTAATGCCGATCCTACGCGTCGTCACTGAGCATGTGCGTGGCATGCCGTATTTCGGACTGTTTGATTTCCTGAAGGGGTTCTGGCAGCTTCCATTGGCAAAGGAGTGCCAAGAATTCCTGTCCTACATGACGGATAGCAAAGTGTACACACCCACTCGCGTGCCCCAAGGATGCAGCGACGCAGCTATACATTTCCAACGTACAATGGAGACGTCATTTAAGGAGCTGTTGTACAAGCATTTGCTAGTGTGGGTAGATGATCTCCTACTCTACGCCAACAATATTGACGAGTGAGTACCTTGAGAAGCTGCAAAGACTTTTGTGCTTGATGAATGAATTCGGCTTGAAGCTCAGTGTGAAGAAGTCAAGTTTGTATCACAAGAGTGTCAAGTGGTGCGGAAAAATTATCGATGGTAATCGAGTAACGAATGACCCCGAGCGCATTAAATATTTGCGCGAGATGTCGTAGCGGCGGACCTTCAGCAGTTCTTTTGTGCGGCGAATTGGCTACGCGAGAGTATAGTGGGCTATGCAGGGGCAGTGAAGCCATTACAGGAGTGTCTAGATAATGCACTGCGGAACAAGAGAAAGTCGAAGAGAGCCGCAGCGGCTGTTCCAATTGCTTTTACCTCAGAGTTGCAGGAAAATTTCGGCCGCGTGCGCGATCTGCTGGCAACGTCAGCCACCCTGCACCATCTCAGCCCCGATGGAGACGTGGTATTAGTGAATCGGTGTCTGTGCCGGTATCGTCGCATCGTTCAGCTTGTTGTACGCATGAACGATGCGCCAGCCGCCCTGTGGCTTCTTGACACAGAACGTCGGAGCACTGTGCGGGGATTTCGATTCCCGCACTTGTCCAGTTTTGCGACGACTCTCAAAGAAGTCGTCGATCGCCTTGACCTGCTCTCGCGGCAGTGGCCACTGCCGCGTGACACAGTACTTCGTCCCCGGCACGAGATCAATCTCGTGCTGGATGCGTTATCCTGCGGAAGCTCCGCAGGAATCTCTTCCGGGAGTACGTCCGCGTACTCCCGTAAGATCTCGTAGTAGGGGCTCGTCTTCAATGAGTCCCAGCTCTGCTCTTCAAAGCGCTTCTTCTTAGTCTTCGCACAGAGAGTGTCCTCGCTCTCAGTGGTGTTCTCCGTGAAGAACTGCCTCAGTTCTTCATTCTCGCTCTTCGTTCTCTCGGTGTCCGAGAGAATGCATATTTGCTCGATGCGTCCATCGTGCAAGTCACGCGCGAAGCGCTTCCAGCTCATGACTGGAAGCGAAGTCAACTCCGACGCTTGCGTCGGAGGGTTAGCGAGAGTCATCTCCCTGTACCGGAACCCGGCACAGGTACGCGTCAAGACGTTCAACGTCTCCACGTCCGGCTTCTCAGCCTCCGTCTGCCCGGCAGACATTCCTTGTAGCGTCTCGGCCCCAGGCCGAGACTTGCGTAGCGACCTTCGCATGCGCCGTCTTCTTGTTTTGTGGAGCCCGGCTCCGCTTGGTTCTTGACCCCGTCCAGGCCCAGCCGTGGACGGGTGTTCTTCTTCAGTACCGCCGGCGGGTTCCTCCCGCGGGCGAGCGACTTCAAGCCCGGCTTGGTCGCCCGGCGCTTCATCGTGCAGCCCGGCTGCACGACAGCATGCAAGTTTTTCCGGTGCGGAACGTTTGCAACCGTCCGCACCGCTTGCAGCGTCGACTCCCGGAGTCGACACGCCATCCTTACCTCGACGCCTGTTATTGGCGGAGCCCTCCATTACGGAGGGTGCGTCGGCTTCCCGAGCCGACGAATCAAATTCACCCAAGCCATCGACTTCCGGAGTCGACGGCGTTATGTCACCTTGGCCCTTATTATTGGCCAGACCTGATCCAATCAGATTCGCGTCAGCCTCCACGGCTGAGGCGTGTGACTCGCTTGCGCCATCCGTGCCCCTTGAGGCCGGAGACTCTTCCTGATTCGCTGAAAAGCGGGTGTCGATCTCCGAGGTCAACACATGTCCTTCATTAGTTGTCGGCAGCAACGCCGACTCTTGCGCGCCCAGAGCGCTCCGGGACAGCGGCGTTAGGCGCTGTTTCGAGTGGGGAGTCGCGCGCATCTGTCGGTGTGTGCGTAGCGGTAACAGGGCCATCGCTCACTGTTCCTCTGTCGCGACCGAAGCGCACGAGAGTGCGCTTCTCCCAATCGATGACCGGATCATACCGTGCAAGCCACGGCATGCCCAATAAGATGTCAAACTTTCCAGTACAGTACGTAAGCTGTTCAGCATTTTCCGCCTTTATTAGGAGTATGTGTAGAGACCGTCCATGACTACGTGGCAGTGACTTAAAATTCGCTGATCGCCATTCAGTCGTTTGATCGCGGCACAGCTTCAACAAGATCCTTTCGACGGAGGATCCCGTGGAAACCCTGGTCCTGGTGGCTCTGGTTGCCTGATAGTCTTGCTCCCTCAGGGAGAACCGACTCCTACCGTTGAATGGATGGCGAGCATTTCTTTAGCATCGCGACGAACTACAAACAATATAGCAGAGTACCAGGCACTGTGTGCAGGACTGAACTACGCACTCACCAACGGACTGACCAATCTTCACGTGGTGGGCGATAGCGCGATGATATTGGCGCAGATGAGGAGACGGCGTCCGCCCAGAGCGCCACATTTACGGAGCATTTACGCGCAATCCAGAGGGATAGCAGATCGGGTCCATGTGTGCACGTGGAACCATCATTTGAGAGCCTTCATAGTCGTTAGGAAGAACTAAGTGACAACAATGTACCTCAATTCAAAAACAACAACAACAACAAAACCGATGAGGGCGTTGAGGAGCGTTTGACGTGGGCTGTTTACCGCTGCTGCTGTCGCTGTTTCAATGTATGCGTGTAACGTGTACTTTACTGCTTCAGCTGTCTGTGTGAATTTTATTTGGCGGCACGTTCTGGTTGAAGTACTAGCTGCAATTGTTGACCCCACATGAGAGCCTTCTGCTCGAGCTCGCAACGTACTGTACAGCAGCAGCAACAACAACGCGATTCTGCATGTATATGTACACTGTTCTGTATGGTGCAGCGACACGTGAAGGGTAGAACCAGGGCTGTGGAAAATACGATTGTGATTGTAATATTATCAAGATTGCCAATCACAATAATTGATTGTTCCGTGATCTCAATCGACAATCCCGTTCCCATATTGTCCCTTACTGATTTTGAGCCTTTGCTAGTGATCCGGTAGAGCAATATGCAACTCCAAGCCCATTGAACCGATCCTAGACTCATCAAAGCCTTTCTGTGTCTTCTGCTACTTCGAAATGCGAAAATGAGGGGTCATTGGGTGCCCGAACGGGGTACACGCTCAACATGATGAATACAAGACCCAACATTGCTTTTTGCCAAGGCTTTTGAAGGTTAACACGTATGCAATCGAATAAGCACAGATCTTAGGGCGATAGCGCCGCCAAACGAGTAAAAATATGAACCTAGCAGAGGAAATACAAGCGAAAACTTAGATTGCAATCTTTTGTTTTTGGGCCTGTCAAGACTGCAATAATTGATTGTTTCAGATCTGAGTCGCCAATCAATAAACAATCTATATTTCCACAGCCCTGGGCAGGGTTGTGAAAATCCCCATATTTTTGCAAGGAAGGGTGGGTTTTTCGATTCTGTCGGGTGGGTCGGGGGGGGGGGTTGGATAAATACAACCTAACCCTTCAACTGCAGTCATGCAATGGAGTAGGTTAATATCAGTTGATATTAGTTGAAATAGGTTATGGTGCCACATTTAAGATCGGTCTTGCTCTGCGCCTTGGCAGCGGGGTTCACGCTGGACGTGGGGTAGTTGACCTGCTTGGCGGAGCCCTGCGCGGCGGCCGGGGACTCGTGCAGCGCCTCCTGGATCTGCTTCTCGGAGGCCACACCGTAGAGGTCGCACCAGGCCTTCTCGCCCTGGGAGACCGGTGGCACGCTCGTCTTGGCGGAGCCGCCCGAGGTGGCGGGCGTCAGCTGTAGTACGCGCGCGGACGTGGACGAGCTGATGCAGCGGGCAGCGGCCTTGGGTAGTCGGCGCGAGTTGCGGGCCAGCATGGCTGTAGTTGCTGTTGTAGTTTCTATGGGCGGCGGGTAGCGGCTTGCGGGGTGGAGAGTGAATTCGGATGTGAGCCAAACTCGAGTGCGCCGCGCCTCCAATGCAAGTGATGAGCGGGTTAGAGACGCAAATAAATGTCTAAACAATCGATTTAAGTCCTATAACAATTGTAGAACATCATTTCATCTTCGGCTTTTCTCAAATGTTAGCGTTTTTACACGCATTTGGCGTTAAATTGAGTATAAAAACTAACTAGGGCTACGCATAGGCTGGGATAGCAAATTTACGGGGGCAGCCAGAACTTTCACCACAGCAGTAGTATTACGACGACTATCAAGGCGTGCGAGCGCAACCTCAAAGCTTAACTACTCGTCGCCTCTCTTGCCTAGCAAGTGAGAGGAAGAACTATCAGCTTCATGGGCGACCTTTATGAGAAACCTGGAGCATTGAATATCTTGTATCATAGTTAACGTTGCGATTTGTTTTCTTTGCATTATTTGTACCCTGAAAATTATCTGTAGACCATGACTACCAGCGTCAAGATGCGCGCCGTATACCCCCCCCCCCCCCCCTCCCAGCTGCAATATCGCCGCACGTAGCGGTCGTGGGGCCATTAACGTAGTCGTAAGCTTTGAAATTTAAGGATTTCTAAAAAAATAGTCTGCTCAATGTCAAAGTTCGATATAATTGAGGGCTATACTACAGACATAGAGTAAGTGTCTCCTGCGGTCACACATTCGGTCTTGTAGCTACTGCATTTGTACTTCGTAGTTAAAACTCGTGTTGTCCTCATACCGCTCGAAACTTACTAGACAGTATCTACTTTTCAGATCGCACTACCAGCCAGATGCTGCGGCTGCGAAGCAGGCGCAGGAGACGCCAATGGGTAATGATAAAAAACCTGCTATAAACTAAAAACAAAACAACTACAGATACGGTCAAAAGACCCCTATCCTAGCCATTGCGGGGCCCTAGTGCGGTGGCTAGGTACGTAGGCCGGCTGCTTGGTTTAGTGGTAGAATGTGAAATTGCACAATAGCTCCCATGGCGCCTATCAGCGAGACCGAGGTAGACACGGACTGCGACGTCAGCTACAACAGTCAGCCGAAACCACATCTCGAATTCAGCGTCGTAGTGAACCTGATAGTGGCGAATTATGGCGGAAAACGCGCGATCATGTTAGTGTAGGGAACTTGTGGCAATACTGAGCAATAGTTCGCGAGATAAAGGAAAAGCAGGGGGATAGGTACGTACGTAGGTGCCGGTTGCTTTAGAATGCGAATGGCTGAAGTCAAGTGACTCGAGATCGGACTCAGTTACCAGCTCCAGTTACCGAGTCACCAGGAGAAAGACAGCCAGTGACAAAGGACCACGATACCGGCTTCAGTTTACTGGCTTCAGTTACCGAGGCGCGAATTAACCCGATTTGGGCTGCCTAGCAGCATGACCTATGGGCCACTGCTATCCCAGTATAAATAGCGCTTAGTCAATGGGTGGATGGGTTTTATGAATATCCCTAAAAAGCCCGACCCCGGATGACTTGGGGTGGGTGGAATAAATTGTTTATTCCCAATTCGAAAAACCCCATCTCGCAACCCTGGCCCTGGGGTAGAACTCTCCACAGAACTCTCCATTGTGCTGGGCGACGTTGGCTACACGTACAACAAATGAGACAACCCAGAACCAAATGATACTAATGCGCCATTTAGAGTTATCGAGATAATCGCGTTTAAAGTTAGGCCATCGATTTTCGTAATTATATGAAGTTTCGAGAAAACGGCCGATTTGTGTTTTGAAAATCAAACTGTCACTAAACTGAGCTTGCTCACTCAAGAACCTGAGACCACAAGAAGATACCAGTGTCCTGCTACGATGTCCTCCCACGAACCCTCGCCCACGCGGTCCGCAAGAACTCTTGCGACCGTGGCTTCGGCCACATTCGCCGCCATGTGGGCCGCGCTAACTGCTGGACGATGGACCACATCATTTCCGCGGTCAACGAGGCGGCCACTTCGAGCATTGCAGTGCACATCTCGCGTGGGAACGAGTTCTTCAAGAGCTACAAGCCGCTCGTGACGGAACTTTACAAAAAGCTAGTTGGGGTACAGCAGTACCAGATCTTTAGTATGGAGGCGACTAAACCCGGTGTAGTGCAGTGCAAGAAGGGGCTAGACGACGTGCCGGTTGAGCAGGATCTACGGCGCAAAGTTGACAGGGTCCTGACAGAGAGCACTAAGGTGGAGCGGATGCTCACCCACTTCCTGGAGGACCTGAGCCCTCCGTCGCTAAATGCGGAGAAGATGACCGAGCTCTACAGCAAGGTCCGCCCGTACGTCCCTGATAAGTTTCAGGATGATCCTATCTACGCTGCCCCAAGCCAAAACCAGCAGGACGACGCTAAATCAGCAAAACAAGCTCGCAGAGAGCATCGGGCAGCAATGGCAAAGGCCGCGAAGGAGAACAGCGACCACCGAGGAAGAAACGAAGGCAACACGAGTGCAGCGACGAAAAAGAGAAAGACAAACAGCGAGTAAGCTGCTGCAGTCTAAGGGGATCAAAATGATACTTCCATCCATTTCTCAAACGAATTGTTACTTATCTACATATCCGCGTCACTAGCTCGGGGTAATAACTTTACGACGCGATTTGAGCACGTTCTGCTCGGAAATGGTCGAATCCGATAGTACCATTCGAACCGCCGGCCCATTTTACCTTTGGTTCACCAAAACAAATTCCATTTTTGCTCTGGGAAGGGAGATAATTTTTCTGAGGGCCTATAACTTCGTCGGTTTCAACTCCTGGGAGGTGTGGGTGGGCTCAAATGAAAGAGGAGACGCCCTTCTTTCCATTGGTGTGCCTAAATCGCGATTCGTACTTAGGTTCATTAGAGGATGTTAGCAAATTGGTATTTTACGAGTTGGGGACAAAGACACTCGACCACCGCTGTCTATGTCCCCGAACTCGTAAGAGGGGAGTCGTGTTAGTACGGAATCTCCCGAGAAACTCGTAAGGCATTTTCACGAGATTACAAGCCTTCTGATTGGCTCGTTACTCTCATCCCGCATCTCCCCTTCGAGCACCATGGCCGCCATGGCGCTTACAGGTACCTGTAGCGCCGCGACTCGAATCGAGTCGCGGTGGTTCGAGTCACTCGAACCACCTCATCCAGTCTCAAGTGCCCCCCCCCCCTAATCAGTGTGACGTCCTTGCCTCTCCCAGCGAGGCACACGAGGATGACGACGATTCGGCTACGCGTCTTAAGTCATAACGGCGCGTCGAAGTAGAGTAGGCAGCCATTGACCACAAAGAGCAGCATAAAGTAGAATATGTTGCTTAGAGTAGTGATGTCGGAGTTCCTGATCGTACTATTGGTTTGGATATGTCAACCTAAGAAGATGCACAGTGCCTCGATACTGTAGCGTTTGATTCTATCGCGGGTGATGACGTCGAGATATTTAGTGCTGCGCTGAGCGCGCGAATCTCATCCTCGGTGAAGCGGAAGTACCTCTTTCAGTACGCATCGCTGTGTTCGTTGAGCCTTGAACGCCTGGGATGATCAGTCACTCGGGGCGCTCAGAGCGCGAAGTAGCATGTCATCGGATGCAGGGATCTCGTGTCAGCAGGGCGGCCTCTATCGCTGGGAGTCAGTTGGATTTCGTAAATGGGCGGATACGAGAATGGTAACACTGTCGACGATTTCGTTTTAACTAAACACATAAAAGTGTTGACCGTAAATTTGAGTCGTTATTTACGAAGTTGCTAACATCCTCTATTAATATTCTTTTGTTTGTCGTTTTCTCAAATATCCAGCTGTATGTACTGTAGTTGCAGCGGGTTGTACATTAACGATCACAGTGTATCGACGCTGTCGCTGATCAGTCGCCACGTGATGGTCACGCCCACCTGAAAGTGTACTCGGACCTCCTGGAATGAAGAATAGGTAGGCACCATGCATCCTTCTGTCCAAGCCGGTCGAGGACACGCCCATCTTAGCCAAGTTTTGGCTAGGTACGTAGCAACATTATCAGCAGTCACGCATTAGATGATAGAAAGCTTGACAGACACTCAATTTAAAGCCATCTTGAAGGATACAACACGAGACACTATATTGCTGTTGCTCTTAATAAACGTGTCGGGCACGGATACGAAACATCGATCCTGATGCCACTCTATGATATATCACCAAGCTGCGCTGCCTTCTGCGCTGCTGCGGCTCGGCTTAGTTGGTGCTGTTGTTGCGGATGTAGTACGGCTCGTCCTGGAACTCGGTCTCGCAGTACGGGAACAGCGTGTCGTCGTCCGAGGGCGTGAAGAGCTCCTTGCCGGCGTGGATCATGACGTAGCAGCCCGTGACGGCGCACACCACGATCACCAGCATCGACGCGCCCTTGTCCACAAACGACATGCTCTTCCAGAACACGCGCAGGTAGATGATCAGCGGCATGAGCAGGCAGCTCGTCGTGTGGGCGGTGGCACCCGTGAAGTCCTCCAGGTCCAGGAAGCGCTTGCGCGCCAGCACAGCGATGATCACCAGAACCACAATGATGCAGATGCGCAGAGCGATGTAGCGCAGCGGGTTGTTCTTGTACGGCGCGTGGAGCTGCTCCTCCGTGATCTCCTCGCCGAACTCGAGCGCCACGCGCAGGTGCGACATACGGCCCTCCGTCTTCTCCACGAGGCTGGAAGCTGACACCTGGCGGTTGGCCGCGTCCATGGGCGTGGAACTCTGGATGTACGAGCGCTTCTCCTGGATCTCCAGGTCCATGTCCACGTTCGCCTGGTCCACCTCGCCGTTGAAGCGAACGATCTCGGGGCCCTTGTGCATGCCCAGGATCAGGCGCTCGGCCATGAAGAACGGAGGCATCATGAGCGTCGAGAAGGCGATCGAAATGTGCACCTGCATGAACAGGTACGACATCACCACGGCGCCGCGGTCGGCGGTGAAGCCCAGAGGCGCCAGGCCGAGCGGGTCCGACGTGCTCACGATCGAGTACAGAATGTTGCCCGACAGCTGGCAGCCGCCGGCAGTGTAACCAGCCAGGGCGACGGCCACGAAGAAGGCCGAGATGAACAGGATGGTGATCACGACCACGCGCGGCATGCGCTGCGGCTGCGAGTGCTCGCGCTGCAGGTCGGGCACCACGATGGCAGCGCCGTACGCCAGCGCGAGGTTACCGAAGCACGTCAGCACCTGGTGTAGCGTCACGTCGGGCGACGGGATCGAGCCGTGGTCGCGCATGTTCCACTGCAGCACCGACACGGCAATGATGTCGGCGATGACCGTGCCCATGCAGCCGGCGAAGGCCATGCCGGCACTCTCCTTGAGCGTCGGGATGAGGCACACGGGGACGACCATGAGCGCCATGAAGATGATCCAGAAGATCTGGCTGAACGAGTCCGGGAACAGCACATCGAGCAGCGTGCTGCCGAGCACCAGGAAGGCGCAGGGCACCAGCAGACACACGCCCATCTGAGACACCACCGTGAAGAAGCGGCCCCACTTGCCCAGGGCCCACTCGCCCAGGTCACCGTACGTCTTGACGGACGACGGCGCCACCAGCATCACCTTGGACAACTTGAGCGTGGCGTACGTGTTGGCGAAGATCATGAAGGCCAGCGCGATGGACGCGAACAGGGGGCCGGCGCGCGCGTAGTTGGAAGGCATGGCCAGCGAACCGATGCCGCACACGCAGCAAAAGAGATTGAAGGACGCCTTGGCGTCCTCCATCGTGAAGAAGGCGGTCTTGCCGTTGCTGGACGGCATGGTGCGGGACGGAGGAAAACAAACGTCGAGCGGCGCGAGGCGAAAGTTGCTTCTCTTGCTGCTGCTGCTGCTGGACCTCTCCGAGAGAGCGCAAATTCCAAAGTGAGCAAGTTAAAGCAACGCTCGAGCGAGCGACGCAACCAACTTCCTCCTCTGCTTCTCTTCGGGTCCGCCGCCGATTTGCTCCTCGTGTGTCCTGCTCAGTGAGCAAGGCGGCCGGGCAGAGCCGATGCGACCGACGGCTCTTTTTTCGGAGCGAGCATAGTGGGCGCAAGTGCGGCGTGCAGAGCAGCGTGCAAGCTCGCCTGTGTCGGGGGCCCCACTTGGCTCAGCCAAAGTTGGCTGCATCAGGGGCGCTTTGTGAGCTCATGTCCCTGCTTGCAACAAGTTGCCGTTGCAGCAGAGACTTGCATCCAGGCGAGATACGGACCACCACATGAAGGCAAGGCGCGGGCGCGGCGCTGAAGATCCCCCTCCGTTTAAGGATGCGCCTCGGACGACCGTCTCAGTTGGGAGATGCGCTTTCGCCAATCTCAGCGACTGTCACAGTCGAGCACATGTGGACGAATCAGCGTGTCCTCTCGCTGTCGGCGATAAGGTATCGCGGGTCAACGATGCGGCATCCCACTGTTTGAAACGCAAACCGCATCCATACCTTATAGCTGACAATCAAGTCTGAGGAGAACTCGCGATTGGAGGCGGGCGCTACTGCCGACGCATATCCTGAAGATAACCTACGCCGGACCTTATTTCGAGGGACAACCTCGCGCTGCCTAGGCCCACTCTCCAGGGCCTTTCCGGTGCAGGGGGCCGCTCTCTACCCTTGTGTGCTCGGCGAGCACTGCTCGCTGCTTGCAAGTAGAACTGTCGACGTCCGGGCTTCTGGACGTCGACTGGACGTCAGCAACACCTTAGTGAAGGGTCGTTATTGACGTCCCTTGACACCCTACCAAATTAAGCCATATAATTGGCCAAAAAGGTTATTTGAACGCCAATCAGAAGCACGCCATGTCTTAGCTCGTCAATGCCACATTCACGAAGCAAGCTGCGCCACATCAAGTGTTCGGGATGGACAAGATCTCAAATGCCGGAGCGCCGTCCATTTCCTGCGTGAGTGAGCTTCAGATCAACGACCAGTGGTCTGTTGTCGGCCTCATCCTCCAATTCGCCGCCCAGATCGAAGTCCACACTCACGGGCCTGTGAGCATGGAAGCTCATTCCGATATGCGAGGCCACGTCTAGCCGGTGGCTAGCCCCCTCCAAGAAGCTGCGCAACACGTCGTCTTCAAGAAGCCGTCCAGCGTCGTCTTCAAGAAGCCGTCCAGCGTCGTCTTCAAGAAGCCGCCCAGCGTCGTCACCAAAGCCACCTCGGAAAAAGGCAAGAAAATCAACTCCAACAAAAACCTCTTCGCGGAGACCAGCACGAAAGCGCCCAACTCCATCCAAGACAACTACACCAAGGCGAGCTCTTTCAAGGACAAGTACCCCGTCGGGACCAACGCGTGCAAGGCTGACTGCGCCATCCGAAACCCGCATGCAAAATGCAGCCCGGTTAAACCATTCAGCTTTCAGCCCAAGCTCACACGAACAATTTCATCAGGTCCCGACCGCCAACGGCGTCACGAGTTGCCCGGCTGGAAGGGCATTTGAGGCCCCTAAGCAGCGGGACAAGGCGTACTGTCAGTTCGTCGTATGTGTGGTAGACGACAAGTACAAAGATATTCCAAGGCAAAACCTCACCCGCGACCACGCCAAAAGCTTTTATTGCTTTGGCTGCAAGGAAGAGCTTTCCATCAAGAAGGGAAAGAGTTTGGTTGGCCCCCACATGCGGAAATCCCACATCGAGGCCTTACGGGCTTTCAAAGAAAATGAGCGGCGTGAAGCAGCCCTGAAAGAATCGAACCAACTGGTGAACTTGTTTGAACGAGAAGATGAATCGGAACAGAGCTTCTTCGAGGGCATTTTGTCGGAATGGGTGGGTACGGATTTGCGACCTACAAGTATCATCGGCGACAGAGGATTCGCGAAGGCGATAAGGTTTGCAAGCAGCGCAACCACTGTTCTTGAGATCCCGTCGAGACAAACGGTCGCGCTCCGTGTCCACGAGAATGCTTCAGAGCGCCGTTTGTCACTGCGAGTGATGCTGGTGAGCGACAACGAATGTGACTTCTATTCGGCCTCGTCGGATATTTGGACTTCGATAAAGTGTGAAAGCTTTATAAGCTTAACGGTTCACTACCTTGACAGCCTGTTCAACATGAAGTCGTGGACACTTGAAGTTACCTCTATTCCTGAGAAACACGATTGAAGCCATTGCAGATGTACTGTTACGTTGCTTTGCGTGGTGGCGTCTGGACCCCAAGAAGTGTGTTCGATTTCTACGAGATGCTGCGTCGAACATGAAACGTGGATGCACCCTCCTTGGGCTCAATCATCGATCATGCGCAGTGCACTCACTTCACCTCGTTGTAGCCGCGGCGCTTCTGCAGAAAGGAGATGAACGAAAGAAGGCGATAGCAGTTACTGATGGTGCCAGCACCGGTGTTTGTCCTGGCGAAGTTGGCAGTACTCTCGGCAACGACGTCTGTGTGCGCAGTGAGCAGTATGTGGAAACGGAAACCCAGTGGATAGATGAGCAGCTGGATGCCTTGGAAAATGGCCCGGACTCGGACGACGACGGTGAAGACGAAGAGTTTATTAGTGAAGCTGATATTGATGCGCTTTGCGGGGAAGTTGCCAGTTTTGTTGCAGAAGCCGAGAAATCGGCGGCTATGGAAATTAGCTCGGCTGATATGGAGCTGGTTCGCAAAACGGTTCGAAGGTTCCGAAAGCTGGCGGACAACTTCCATCGCTCACAAAAGGCTCGCAATCGACTAGATGAGCTGCAGTCTACTCGAAAAGAGCCCCTAAAAGTGTTGATCGATTGCCCGACGAGATGGAACAGCACAATGGTTATACTCCAGAGCGTTTTGGATTTGCAGCCTGCGGTGAAAGATTTTTTCCTGTACATTAAGTCGGAAGAAGGCGAGAAGGAGTTTAACGATCGATCTACAAAAACGTTGAAGCTTCCAAGTGCCAAGCAGTGGTTCATGATTCAGTGCCTGGTCGAGCTGTTGGCCCCGTTCAGCGTTGCCACCACTATGCTCGATGGAGAAACCTATCCTACGCTGATATCTCTTCATATTTTCATCTCTTCACTCAAACGATGGACAACCAACAAATATTTGATGTTCTCTATACAAGTGTCGAGAAGGAGGCATACGCAATGGAAGTGCTATCCATCATGCAATCCGTCCGCCGAAGCTTTTCAGCCTTGTTGAAGCAGCGGCTTGATAAGGGGGCAGACCCCGACCTTTTGTGGATATCGTTGCTTGACCCCTACATGACGAATTCGGCGATTTTCACTGCGGATGAATATGAGAAGGCGCGGGAGCAGTTTGCCGATGAGATGTTCGTGTTAAAGAAGAAGTCTGCTTTGGTTCACAACGACGCAGCTCGTTCTCAAAGCCCTGAAAAGCGAATGACTGATGCTACAGACCGCGCTCGACAGAGCTTCCTAAAGATGTTGTACGGATCGAGAACGTCAAGATCATCAGCTGCGACGGACGACAAGTTAAAGACTGACTGCGAGTGGGAGCTAAGCAGCTACTTGAAGCAGTCGAGCGAGGCGGAGGTCAAAGATCCCGACAAGCCCCCATCGGCTTTGTCGTGGTGGAAGCAGAACCATTCAAAATTTCCGACTATTGCTGTTCTCGCAAGTGGCTTGGATGCATCGCTACATCGGTGCCCTCAGAGCGCGCGTTTTCCACTGCAGGTAACACAGTTACAAAACGACGTTGTTCGCTGAAGGCTAGCACAGTTCGGGATATGGTGTTTATGGCTCAAAATGGAGCAGCATGATATGTATCTAGTTAGTGATGACAACACTGTACTAACATGTATAATGTTTGTATGCGCCTTCATAACGAAACTTCTTCACGTATGTAACTCATTTCAATGGTGCTTCTGCGATAGTATTGAATGAAGATGGTAGAGCGCTTCTGCAATTTTGGGCCACTCCGTCGGATCCAGAGACACACAAGCCGTGCACAAGTCCGGCATCGATTGAACTAACCTGATGAAAACTAAACAGCGCCACCATCTAGATGATGACCACCTCAGAGACTTTGTGGTCTGAGTCAATATCCCCGCAGCCTTTTGCGTGTGAATACGAAATGACATGCTGATCCAACACGGGCAGTACGACTCCGACCAAGAACATGTCGACGTACACACACCACCTCCAGCGCCATCCACCGCGACATGCCAACGCCGGCCGTCATCTCGTCGTCTTCTCGCTTAGCTGTGAGATTGGTCTCTAGGCTGGAGGCGAGCTGGACGTTATCGACTTCAAGTCTCGATGCAGTACTTAAGTCTCAAGCGAGTGGAGATACGTGAGCACGTACGCCGCGTTCCGAGCGATCGTCAACTTGCTGAGCTCAAAGCCTGTGGTGTTTTCACACACACTCAGCAACGCGCGTAAGTTTCCACCCTCCATAATCTCCGAGACGGCGCACAAGTCCGTCAGTGAGTCCCAAGCCATGCCCGCGAACGGGACACTGCGCGCGTGCTCGAGCGTCGCCATGAGCTTCACGTCGGCCAGGAGTGCGTCCACGTGCTCGACGCTCTTGCGCACTTTCAGCAGCAGCATCTAGACCGAAACGAGCCGATGGTTGAACAGGCGTCTCTGGAGTCGTCGATGGACTTGGCTTCCGGCTCCATGAGGGAGAATGGGACCTGTGAAGCCGTTCTCTTCCTCCCGCTCAGTGTCGCGAGACGGGTTAGTCTGGCCGACTGTCGGTCATTGCCGCACGTCGTACGGGCCTACTCAGAGGAGGGGTCAGCTGAGTTGACGATCAACTTGGCCACGTTGGCGGCTAGGTATGGCGTGTCTGTCACCACGAAGTTGTAGCCTTCCTGCAAGTCGCGGGAATACAACCTAGAGGTGATGAGAGTTCGCATCAGGCCACAAGACAAGCGGCACAGCACAAGACCAAGGGAGTTCTGTTATCTGAGACTACCTGTGTATTATCGGCGCGTAGGCCTAAGGGTAGAGAATCCGATCCCTTAGAAGGTGGCAATCTAGCGTTCCTGAGCTTGTAGTCAACTACGGTAGTCGAGCTAACATGCCACAAAATAGAATGCGAGCCGCCATATGCAATGAAGCAGCCCCCACAAGTGGCATCTCACTATTTCGAAATAGTGACCAAGCGGGGGGGGCGTTGATCAGACGTCCGTTGGCGACTTTTGACGTCTGGGTGTTAACCTTCGATAACACCGGACGTCGACAGCTCTCCATCCTTGCGAGGATCATTGATCGCTGATGCCAGCAGCTGCCCGAGCGCTCCGGATTTCTCTAGCTGTAACACGATTCTTGGGCGTTGCCCACACCGGGACGCTCGCCCTGTAAATGCAGGGCGCAGACCGGCAGAATTGTGGACCCGGCCACTACCGATATGTGTGTGCCAGACAGACCACAGCGTCGTCGCTGGACAAATCCTGCGCCGCTAAACGGCAAAATAGCACGTTGAAGACGGCGTGGCCTTATCTTCAAGCTAAGCTAAAATGCATGTGTAGCTGCTGGCTTCGCCGTCCGAAGGCAACGTGTGCCGGCGCGGCGGATGGGCTTGCCGCCTCGCATGTTATTAACTGAAGGTGGAAGGATGCGCGGCACTGAAGCGGGCGGCCGGCCATCCGTCAACCGAGACGGAGCGCTGTGCTCCTCGCCCATCCCTCCGTGCAACAACTCGCTCACTTGGGTTCCGGTGCATATGTAAGGCACACACTGTGAGCATGACCCCATCCTCCTTGGGCGGCCCTAGACTTGGGCCCGCCTCTAGGAGCATCCCCGTATCCGGTTCGCGCGTGTCTAGCTGTTGTATTTGTAGGCAAGGTGTAAGGCGCTCTCGCCCCGATCGGGGCCCGAGTCGGGCGGCGCTCCCTCTTCTCGAGTCGATCATGAACAGCAGTTCGTGTGCTCGGAACTTTCCCTTCCATGACAAGCAGCGCGTCAACAGGCGCGCGCAGCGGCTCCGCGCGGGCGTCCAGGCTGGACTCCAGCAACCAGCCTGCATTACATGTACACGTGATGTGAGTTAAAGGCTGAGCGGCTCGCCTATGTCGGTCATAGAGTCTATGCCCCGACACGCGGCAAGAAAGCAGGCAAAGCTGGTGCCCTAAAGTACAAGGAGCTGCAGCACCGGAGATCCATGACAAGCGATGTGCGAGCGAGGCAACGACTGCCCGGTGCTGCAGCTCCTTTAGCTTTTGGTGCTTCGCTGGCAGCAAATCGCTGCGCCTTTTGAATTGTGCAGCCCTGGTCGGAGTTTGAAAAGTTATTTTTTTTGTTGAGACGGGTGGCATTGCCGCCCGCTTCAGGCTGCTGCATCGCGATTCGGAACCCGCTCCTTGGCTGGCAGCGCGAGGATTTGTCAGCAACATGGCAGCATTTCGAGTCGAAAAGGCGGAGCAGAAGATCTATCAGCAACATGGCAACATTTCGACTGGATCAATTGACGTACCACGCTAAACGGCGTGTTTTTCTGCAAAAAATACACGGCCATCCAAACAATAGGATTAGGTACCCTTGTTTTGGTGCTTCGAAAGCCCCGCGTGCGAGACGACTCACCAGGGAGCTAAGCTGGAGGCGCTGAAGACCATCCAGTCGTCACGGAGTTACGTGTGGTGTGGCGACTGGTGTTGAGTGGCCTGGTGCCGTGACAAAGTAAACACGAAGCATACTGTGGAGTAACGAAATCCGCTTACATCTATTAATAGAGTACAGTACACTGTTCTACGCCATTCACGTCGGCACGGAGACGCAGGGCCAGCACTACGGAGCCAATGCGTAGAGCGCGGGGCTTGTATTTATCCATACATCATGCAAGGTGTCGCCGCCAAAACTCTTCAAATGGGGTCGTTACGGTGACCTCATTTACCGACAACGGCGGTTACGAGGAGGACACCTGTCCCACGAAACCGAAACGGCTGCAACTGTTGGGAGACTCCGAACACCTCCAAAATCAAGGTTCAGAAATTCGGTAATCTCGGCCGGAAATTCGGCATCAAGTCAGCGCCCACCGTGGCCGATTAGGCAACACCGAAGACATGCCGATCCAGGTCTATAGTTAGTAATGAATGTAAGTAAAGATTCTATTTACCAGAAACAAGGAAACCCATCCTGAATTTGCGCTGTGGAGTATTGATAACTCGCTACACCTAGCTAGATCTAAGCCGACTCTATCTTTTTAGTCTTTACCCGGATTTCCGTTAAGTTACGTATTTTGTCTAACTGGGCCCCTCTTCTATGGCATGTTGTCCGGAAACTTGTTATAAGTGCAAACGACTAGCAGATCGAATTCAGATACGTACTTCGCATCTTATCAACTCAAGCTCCCATATGTATGGGCCATTCACGATGTTGTAGATGTACTCGCAATCAATAGAATTGTATTCCGGGGGCGATACATTTACAAGGGCTATACATGTATTGGTCGAATCGCAGACTGGTGGACAAGCTCAGCGTAACTTAAGCAACACCACATCAGGAAGGCCGGATAGAGACGCCCGTCAGCGAGCCGTAATACAAAGCGAACCGAAATGAACAGATGCCTTGCCCTTAGCGGTTGTTTGGCCTTAAGGCCCGTTCTCAACCGGCCGCATGCGGCCGCACCGCATCGCACAGTTTTGTACAATGCGGCCGCATGCGGCCGCATCGGTTGAGAACGCCCGTGCGGTCGCATTGTGCGCCCTACCCGCACATCGGCTAATTCGAACTCAAAACATACCACAAGCAGCAACGCGAAGTATGATGAGTTTTGCCGAAGACTCGTATTTCTCGATGCTAGCTCATACACCAACTGAAAACAATATATGAACAAGTACTTGTAGGCCTGTAGTGGATTAATGCTAAATAGGTATCCGACGTACCAGTAGATTAAAACCAAACAGCAAGAATGCAAGGCAACTCACAAAAACTATAATGAAAACGGAAACTCGTTAAAAATATCTAAATCGGCCATCGATTTTGAAGCTACACGCGCTCTACGCTAAAGGAATCTATTTTGCTTTGTGCAGCAAAAGATTACGCACTTATATTTCTTCATTATTCTGGTGGGGTTAACTTACAAGTAGCTTCTGTAGCATAAGTTGACGATCCACTCATTGAGTAGCTCCACCATATCGCTGTAGGTGGACGGTTTTTCTTCACACTGCTGGTTGACCAGCGTAGTAGATCTTTTTGTATCGCTTTCCTTATTGTTGTCTGCGCCAGGTTTTTGCTGAAGATGTTTGCAATATGCAGAAACACAACAAGTTTTTCGACATACTCACATTTTATTTTAGTGCTAAACCTCTGTTGACTCAAATAAAAAGCTCTACTGATGCCACCTAACCGTGCCTTTCGCCTCAGCACGCCTTCGCCGATATCGTGCGGGCATGGATGTATACGTTAGCTCGCTTGAAAGCCCAAACATCATGGTTGCCCATATCCGCCAAGTTGGCTGTGGATATGGGCTGTTTGTCATCATAAATCAAGTAAAGTTAGCAAGGTCTCGAATGCATAACAACAATCATCTCCATAGGCACTGCAGCCGAATTGTTTGGCCCATATATATGGTATGCACGTGCTGGTAACTGTCGGCAGCAGTCGCAGCTATTAATTTTTATCTCACGGTACACGATAACATTTAACTCTCACGCACACGACTCCGTCAACCGATGCATGTTATGACTACATGTATATTGGCTGATACATAACTTCCACTCGTAGGGCATGATACGCTAGTGCATGTTGATCAACGCCTGCTAAAGAGCAGGTAGACGTAGTACACGCTTCCCGGTGGTGGGGTTTCTACATCTAAAGGTAGTTTCCACTACCTGGAACATGTATCTACTTCGAAATAGATGTAACATTACACGTCCTGTACGATGCACTCAATAATAACGCGAAATCGTGTACATGTAGGCCGGATAGAGTAGCGGGCCCCCTTTGTGTTGGCGTCCGCTAGCAACCAGCGGCCCGAACACCTCGAGTAGAAGCTAAAATACAAGGTTGACTTCTTTGGCAGTCAGGAGTCAAATTGACGCCTTGTCGGCTGTTGTCTGATAGGGTACTGTACAGCAGGTGAGTCAATAAGAGCGCTCTGATTGGTGCTGCGGCGTGCAACCCCTACACACTCTCGTGCGGCGACTTCGCCGCATGCGGCCAACTCGCTGCATGAGCGCCTATTTTTGCATGCGGCCGCATGCGACCACCTACCCCACTAACCAATCACAAGTCCTTTTTTCGGCTCATGCGGCGAGGAATTCCGGTTGAGAACGGGCCTAAGTCTTGTCTAGCTGCGTGCTATTAGGAGGCAAAATGAGGACTGAATTGAATGAAACAGGCAAACTACAGCTTCGTGCTCTGTTCTGCCCTCTGATCTAAAGCGATTTAGCGAAACTAACGCAGCAACGGACGCACCCACGTGCACCCATGCGATCGAGGACGGACGGTCTTTGCTGAATCCCTGACTTTGAGCGCCAGCAACCGCTGGAATCTCCGTTACAATAAAGTTGTCACACCTAGAGCCTAGGCGATAATCTTGGGGTCGAGGCGCCAACACGCAGCTTTTCCATACTGGAGCAGAGTACGTAATGACACGCGCATGTTTTCGGAGATACAACTGAAAGCGAATATCTTAGTCTACACAAAATGTGGCAGTCGCTAGCAGAGCTAGATCTTGTTGAACTTGCCGGTCAGCCGATTTGACTGGATTATCAGGATTCTTTATCAAGCAATTTATTAATATTTTATCCTCAGAAAAAAGAGACCTCTCACTTCTGTGCATTCCACTTTCTCGCCCTGTGTGCAGTATTTGATAATCTGAATTCCGTATATCGATACGCCGATTACGGAGTGGAACATGAAGTACCGTACGACGAATCCGTAAGCAATACTGGGGCGTACTCCAGCAATTGGCACTCCCAACAAGGGCATTGCCACCCCAGTTTTCGTCGACAACATCATATCTGCTTCTCGACCGTTTGTACACCAGCCTCCTGTATCACAGTTGCAGCCGTTTCGGTTTCGTGGGACAGGTGTCCTCCTCGTAACCGCCGTTGTCGGTAAATGAGGTCACCGTAACGACCCCATTTGAAGAGTTTTGGCGGCGACACCTTGCATGATGTATGGATAGATACAAGCCCCGCGCTCTACGCATTGGCTCCGTAGTGCTGGCCCTGCGTCTCCGTGCCGACGTGAATGGCGTAGAACAGTGTACTGTACTCTATTAATAGATGTAAGCGGATTTCGTTACTCCACAGTATGCTTCGTGTTTACTTTGTCACGGCACCAGGCCACTCAACACCAGTCGCCACACCACACGTAACTCCGTGACGACTGGATGGTCTTCAGCGCCTCCAGCTTAGCTCCCTGGTGAGTCGTCTCGCACGCGGGGCTTTCGAAGCACCAAAACAAGGGTACCTAATCCTATTGTTTGGATGGCCGTGTATTTTTTGCAGAAAAACACGCCGTTTAGCGTGGTACGTCAATTGATCCAGTCGAAATGTTGCCATGTTGCTGATAGATCTTCTGCTCCGCCTTTTCGACTCGAAATGCTGCCATGTTGCTGACAAATCCTCGCGCTGCCAGCCAAGGAGCGGGTTCCGAATCGCGATGCAGCAGCCTGAAGCGGGCGGCAATGCCACCCGTCTCAACAAAAAAAATAACTTTTCAAACTCCGACCAGGGCTGCACAATTCAAAAGGCGCAGCGATTTGCTGCCAGCGAAGCACCAAAAGCTAAAGGAGCTGCAGCACCGGGCAGTCGTTGCCTCGCTCGCACATCGCTTGTCATGGATCTCCGGTGCTGCAGCTCCTTGTACTTTAGGGCACCAGCTTTGCCTGCTTTCTTGCCGCGTGTCGGGGCATAGACTCTATGACCGACATAGGCGAGCCGCTCAGCCTTTAACTCACATCACGTGTACATGTAATGCAGGCTGGTTGCTGGAGTCCAGCCTGGACGCCCGCGCTGAGCCGCTGCGCGCGCCTGTTGACGCGCTGCTTGTCATGGAAGGGAAAGTTCCGAGCACACGAACTGCTGTTCATGATCGACTCGAGAAGAGGGAGCGCCGCCCGACTCGGGCCCCGATCGGGGCGAGAGCGCCTTACACCTTGCCTACAAATACAACAGCTAGACACGCGCGAACCGGATACGGGGATGCTCCTAGAGGCGGGCCCAAGTCTAGGGCCGCCCAAGGAGGATGGGGTCATGCTCACAGTGTGTGCCTTACATATGCACCGGAACCCAAGTGAGCGAGTTGTTGCACGGAGGGATGGGCGAGGAGCACAGCGCTCCGTCTCGGTTGACGGATGGCCGGCCGCCCGCTTCAGTGCCGCGCATCCTTCCACCTTCAGTTAATAACATGCGAGGCGGCAAGCCCATCCGCCGCGCCGGCACACGTTGCCTTCGGACGGCGAAGCCAGCAGCTACACATGCATTTTAGCTTAGCTTGAAGATAAGGCCACGCCGTCTTCAACGTGCTATTTTGCCGTTTAGCGGCGCAGGATTTGTCCAGCGACGACGCTGTGGTCTGTCTGGCACACACATATCGGTAGTGGCCGGGTCCACAATTCTGCCGGTCTGCGCCCTGCATTTACAGGGCGAGCGTCCCGGTGTGGGCAACGCCCAAGAATCGTGTTACAGCTAGAGAAATCCGGAGCGCTCGGGCAGCTGCTGGCATCAGCGATCAATGATCCTTGCAAGCAGCGAGCAGTGCTCGCCGAGCACACAAGGGAAGAGAGCGGCCCCCTGCACCGGAAAGGCCCTGGAGAGTGGGCCAAGGCCGCGCGAGGTTGTCCCTCGAAATAAGGTCCGGCGTAGGTTATCTTCAGGATATGCGTCGGCAGTAGCGCCCGCCTCCAATCGCGAGTTCTCCTCAGACTTGATTGTCAGCTATAAGGTATGGATGCGGTTTGCGTTTCAAACAGTGGGATGCCGCATCGTTGACCCGCGATACCTTATCGCCGACAGCGAGAGGACACGCTGATTCGTCCACATGTGCTCGACTGTGACAGTCGCTGAGATTGGCGAAAGCGCATCTCCCAACTGAGACGGTCGTCCGAGGCGCATCCTTAAACGGAGGGGGATCTTCAGCGCCGCGCCCGCGCCTTGCCTTCATGTGGTGGTCCGTATCTCGCCTGGATGCAAGTCTCTGCTGCAACGGCAACTTGTTGCAAGCAGGGACATGAGCTCACAAAGCGCCCCTGATGCAGCCAACTTTGGCTGAGCCAAGTGGGGCCCCCGACACAGGCGAGCTTGCACGCTGCTCTGCACGCCGCACTTGCGCCCACTATGCTCGCTCCGAAAAAAGAGCCGTCGGTCGCATCGGCTCTGCCCGGCCGCCTTGCTCACTGAGCAGGACACACGAGGAGCAAATCGGCGGCGGACCCGAAGAGAAGCAGAGGAGGAAGTTGGTTGCGTCGCTCGCTCGAGCGTTGCTTTAACTTGCTCACTTTGGAATTTGCGCTCTCTCGGAGAGGTCCAGCAGCAGCAGCAGCAAGAGAAGCAACTTTCGCCTCGCGCCGCTCGACGTTTGTTTTCCTCCGTCCCGCACCATGCCGTCCAGCAACGGCAAGACCGCCTTCTTCACGATGGAGGACGCCAAGGCGTCCTTCAATCTCTTTTGCTGCGTGTGCGGCATCGGTTCGCTGGCCATGCCTTCCAACTACGCGCGCGCCGGCCCCCTGTTCGCGTCCATCGCGCTGGCCTTCATGATCTTCGCCAACACGTACGCCACGCTCAAGTTGTCCAAGGTGATGCTGGTGGCGCCGTCGTCCGTCAAGACGTACGGTGACCTGGGCGAGTGGGCCCTGGGCAAGTGGGGCCGCTTCTTCACGGTGGTGTCCCAGATGGGCGTGTGTCTGCTGGTGCCCTGCGCCTTCCTGGTGCTCGGCAGCACGCTGCTCGATGTGCTGTTCCCGGACTCGTTCAGCCAGATCTTCTGGATCATCTTCATGGCGCTCATGGTCGTCCCCGTGTGCCTCATCCCGACGCTCAAGGAGAGTGCCGGCATGGCCTTCGCCGGCTGCATGGGCACGGTCATCGCCGACATCATTGCCGTGTCGGTGCTGCAGTGGAACATGCGCGACCACGGCTCGATCCCGTCGCCCGACGTGACGCTACACCAGGTGCTGACGTGCTTCGGTAACCTCGCGCTGGCGTACGGCGCTGCCATCGTGGTGCCCGACCTGCAGCGCGAGCACTCGCAGCCGCAGCGCATGCCGCGCGTGGTCGTGATCACCATCCTGTTCATCTCGGCCTTCTTCGTGGCCGTCGCCCTGGCTGGTTACACTGCCGGCGGCTGCCAGCTGTCGGGCAACATTCTGTACTCGATCGTGAGCACGTCGGACCCGCTCGGCCTGGCGCCTCTGGGCTTCACCGCCGACCGCGGCGCCGTGGTGATGTCGTACCTGTTCATGCAGGTGCACATTTCGATCGCCTTCTCGACGCTCATGATGCCTCCGTTCTTCATGGCCGAGCGCCTGATCCTGGGCATGCACAAGGGCCCCGAGATCGTTCGCTTCAACGGCGAGGTGGACCAGGCGAACGTGGACATGGACCTGGAGATCCAGGAGAAGCGCTCGTACATCCAGAGTTCCACGCCCATGGACGCGGCCAACCGCCAGGTGTCAGCTTCCAGCCTCGTGGAGAAGACGGAGGGCCGTATGTCGCACCTGCGCGTGGCGCTCGAGTTCGGCGAGGAGATCACGGAGGAGCAGCTCCACGCGCCGTACAAGAACAACCCGCTGCGCTACATCGCTCTGCGCATCTGCATCATTGTGGTTCTGGTGATCATCGCTGTGCTGGCGCGCAAGCGCTTCCTGGACCTGGAGGACTTCACGGGTGCCACCGCCCACACGACGAGCTGCCTGCTCATGCCGCTGATCATCTACCTGCGCGTGTTCTGGAAGAGCATGTCGTTTGTGGACAAGGGCGCGTCGATGCTGGTGATCGTGGTGTGCGCCGTCACGGGCTGCTACGTCATGATCCACGCCGGCAAGGAGCTCTTCACGCCCTCGGACGACGACACGCTGTTCCCGTACTGCGAGACCGAGTTCCAGGACGAGCCGTACTACATCCGCAACAACAGCACCAACTAAGCCGAGCCGCAGCAGCGCAGAAGGCAGCGCAGCTTGGTGATATATCATAGAGTGGCATCAGGATCGATGTTTCGTATCCGTGCCCGACACGTTTATTAAGAGCAACAGCAATATAGTGTCTCGTGTTGTATCCTTCAAGATGGCTTTAAATTGAGTGTCTGTCAAGCTTTCTATCATCTAATGCGTGACTGCTGATAATGTTGCTACGTACCTAGCCAAAACTTGGCTAAGATGGGCGTGTCCTCGACCGGCTTGGACAGAAGGATGCATGGTGCCTACCTATTCTTCATTCCAGGAGGTCCGAGTACACTTTCAGGTGGGCGTGACCATCACGTGGCGACTGATCAGCGACAGCGTCGATACACTGTGATCGTGGGTTTCGGCCCTATGGCCCTTAGAGCATCTCCAGCGGTTGGTCTCAAACACGGTTTTATCCTAAAAGTATCGCTGTTAAGACTTGGCCGAGACTTAAGGCTTCCACCAGAAGGTCCTATTGCACGTTTTAACTTCACCGGGACCTATAGATTGGCTTTCGAGTCGTAAAATAAGACCACAATCTTAATGCCACCCATACAAAACTGAAGAGTCACCGTATTTAAAAGATTGCACCAAGACTGAAAGCAATTTTCACATGCGGGAATGGACTTATAAGACTCGCTTTAGAACTCACCACTGGAAGTAAGTCGGTCTGCGCGGGTCTCAACTGTAAAATTGTGGTATCAAAGACCCTGTTACGTCTTAGGATAAGACCCACCGCTGGAGATGCTCTTAGGCCCTGGTCTAGGTAGAAATTCGGAAAGTCATTCTGAAAAATAGCGTTCCCTCATTGGCTAAAAATGGTCCCTTGCTCGGAACGAGTTTCGGTGGTTCTCAGAATTCCTCGCAGATGTATTCTGAAGTGAGAACGAGTTTGCTGTCTCTGCCTGTGTTTATTCCGCAAGCATTTACATTTTCCCTGTTCATTCGCAAGTGCGAACGCCGCGCGCAACGAACTGTCGCTACCGCAGCATCCAGCGCGTACCCCACCATGGAAGTCAAGACCAAGGTTGCAGTTCTGTGCGTGATGCAGTGTATTTGCGCAACGCTCGCCGCTCTTTGCAGTGATCGTCGTCGACTTGGTGGCGCAAAACGAGAACACGTCAACACCTTCGCTGCCACAGCGTTTGACCGTGCCATGCAGACCAAGAAAACTAAGTGGTTCCATAAGAAGATGCGTGCGACAAGCGTACGTTCCTCGCTGTGGTGGCGCGCGTCCGGCAGGAATGGATTGGGATCAGTCACCACAATGCAAAGTTCGACATCACAAAGCGCGTTGCCGTAACGCTGATCTATCTCTCTACCGGTGGCACCATCGACAGCGCTGCGTCGCTGATGGGAATGTCTAAGTCAAGTGCCGTGATGTACATCAACCAAGTATTGGCGGTTCTCTCACGCATGGCGAAGCAGCACATATTCATACCGACAACGCAGACAGAAGTCGACTGTGTGCGAGAGGGATTTGAGAATATATCAGGTTTCCCTGACGTTATCGGTGCTGTTGACGGGTCGTTGATTCGGATCTGCCGCCCCGCTGAGCACGAAGGATGGTATTGCAGAAAAAAATTTCCGGCCGTCAACATGCAAGCCGTTGTCGATCACAAGACCCGTTTTCGTTCGTACTGTATCCGATCTGGTTCTATCAACGACCGGGCTCGAGACGGCTAGTTGTAGAATGAGGTCGGCAAAAGCCAAGCTTTCTTCGGCGCTTCTTCGATGTTTTACGCTAGGTATAGTACCGCACAAATTCTCAGAACTCGTGCTGACCAGGTTCTAAGTTGGGAACCAACCTCGGAACTCGTCTACTTTGACTACAAACTCGGGAAAAGTTAGGGAGCAATGAACTCGGGAGCATTGGGGCAGAAAAACTACAGCATGTGGTGTTAGCAACTCACCATACGAACAACTTCAACGCAATGTTCAGCAATGCAGCGTGTATTGTGTATATATTAAAATCTAATCATCTAATTCACGCAGCCCAGCATGCCCCCATGAGCGTGGGCGCAGGAACTCTTGTTGAAACTCCTCGTCGTCTTGGTGAAGTAATTCCTGATAAGACATTGTCAGCGGAGCCATTCCCACACGAGAAGTGTCGAGACTTTTCTCGACCAGCTCGAACCGCGATGGTTCTCGCGTGCTGTCAATTCCGTGCCCAGCTTGGTGCGGACGAGGATGCTCTTCCACTCGTTGACGTTTCTCTCGTGGCGCAGGCCCAACTACTCGGGAGGCTCGAGCCGAGGCTGTCCCCGGCAGCCACCAGTGCTTGTCGAAGTGCTCTGGCATCAGCTTCAGCGCTCCAGCAGACTCTATGATAGCAATCAAATCGTGCAAACAAGGGCGCCCATGGATGCGTCTGTATACCCCGTTGCAATCACTGCGCGTTATGCCACGAACGACGATCTTGTGTGCCTCTCGCCACTTCTTGTTTGTCTCCTTTAATGCATGAACGCTAATTATCTTGACCACCGCAGAGTAGTTGTGGTTGCGGAACAAGACAGGGATATTCTCAGGCCCAGTTTCGCCAGGGCTCGTACGGGGCCCCTGCGTATGCTGCTCCGATGTACGCCGCGCCGTCTTACGACCAGCGCGCGTATCAGGCGCCTTACCGCGACCCGACGCCGCGCTTCGAGGAGCTGCGCTCTTCTCCACCGGGCCACCCACCGCTTCCTGCGGGGCAGCCAGAGCCAAAAGGTCATGATACCTCTTAAGACGACCCACGTAAAACGTCGGGTGAGTCGTCATCGACTTGGGCAAGTCTATGGTGTACGCCGCGCCATGCCGGCTGAGGACCGTGAAGGGTCCTATAAAGCGGTGCTTCAGCTTGTTGCTCTCGACCGAGCTAACAGTGTTTAGCGGTAGGTTTCTAGTATCTAGGAGAACTAAATCCCCAACCTTAAGCACGTTCATGTTTCCTCTTCCATTTCGGTCAGAGTACTCCTTCTGTTTATCTTGGGCTTGCGCCATGGTGTCTCGCACCCTGCTGATTATGTTCAGCCTGTCTTCGGCAAACGAGGACAGTTGCTTCCGCAAGGCGGCTGGACTCACGTCCGAGACTTGGGAGGAAAAGGTTTTCCGAGCCTCTCCCCCACTTAGGACCGAAGCCCCGGTACTGCCTCGTAATGTGAGCGGCACCTGAGAGTGACGCAACCCGTTCAGGTAAAAGGGCGTAAAGCCCGTCGATGCATGTACCTCATTGTTGAGTGCGAACTCCACCATGGGCAAGCGATCAGCCCAAGAGCGGGGCATCTCCGCGCAGATACTGCGGAGCGTGTCCTCGAGCACGCGATTGACGCGCTCCGTCTGGCCATCCGTCTGCGGGTGGTCCGCCGTCGACATCGACAGCCGTGTGCCGAGAAGGCGAAACTGCGTCTGCCAGAACGTAGCGGTGAACCGCGGGTCTCGATCAGAGACAATGGTCTCGGGCAGACCGTGGTGTCGGAAGACACAGTCCATGAACAGGCGAGCGACCTCGTCGCCAGTGACGGTGTCACGAACTGGAGCAAAGTGTACCATCTTGCTCAGACGGCACACGATGGCAACAACACCAGTGTTGCCACGGTCATCGGCCGGAAGTCCGAAGACAAAGTCGAGACTCATCGACTTCCAGCAGTCCGCTGGGACCGGCAGGCTCTGCAATGGTGCCGAGGCGTGACCGGCAGGCTTCACGCGCTGGCACGTCTCGCACGTACGGACGTAGGTGGCGACCCACTTGTACATGTGACGCCACCAAAACATCTGCGAGACAGACGCGTACGTCTTCTCACGGCCGAGATGGCCACTGGATGGAGCGTCGTGCGCCTCCATCAGGATGTCGTACTTGAGATCCTCGTCGTTGGGCACGACAATACGGGGAGGATCCTCGGGCTCGACCCTATAGTGGAGCAAACCGTCAGCCCACTCATAGCGGTGCATTGTCGGGGCGTGAGCCACTCGGCCTTGGCTTCCGAGCCAGCGGCCAAGAACCGCACAAGAGGTCCGAGACTGGCATCGTCTCGGTACCCCAGCCTGATGCGATCATACAGATCCGTCGTGACCCGACTAATATGAGCAAGCTCGTAGTCGGGTCAGCGCGACAGCGCGTCGGCAAGCACGTTCAACTTGCCCGGCTTGTACTCGACACGGAAGTTGTATTCCGCAAAGAATGACAGCCAACGCGCCATCCGCTGTGAGAGGTGCGGCGTGTTGACGGCAGTCCGCAAGGACGCGTGGTCTGTATAAACGACAAAGGGCGTCGAGCCCAGGAGGTGCACTTGGAACTTGACAAGAGCGTACTTCATGGCAAGTAGCTCCTTGTCGTGGAATGGATAGTTCCGTTCGGCTGCCTTGAGCTGCCTGGACTGGAACGAGATGACCCGTTCGTGGCCTTCATCGTCGGCCTGCAATAGCGCACAGCCAATTGCGTAGTCAGACGCATCACAGACGACGCTGAAAGGCTTCGTCTCGTCCGGCAATGCCAGGCCTGGCGCGCGCTGTAAGCTCGCTTTGATGTCGTCAAAAGTATCTTGATGGCGACGCTCCCAGCGCCAGTCGACATCCTTCTTCAGGAGATCCGACAAGGGCCGTGCCAGCTCGGCGTAGCCTGCACTATACTTGTGCAAGTAGTTGGCGAGGCCCAACCACTGTCGTAGGTCCTTCTGCGACCGAGGTGGCGGCCAAGCCGCGATGGTTTTCACCTTCTCCGGGTCCGCCCGGACCCCGGCGCTGCTGACGATGCAGCCCAGAACCTTGATCTCCTCAGCTGCGAACACGCACTTGTCGATGTTGGCGTACAGCTTGTTCGCCCGCATGACTTCGAACACACGTCGAAGGTGCTGGAGATGCACCTCCATGGCCGTCTGGCCTGCCTCGGCACGGCTGTGGACGAAGATGTCATCAAAGTACGTCTGTGTGAACGCACGCAAAGGTCGGAACAGTTGTGTGACCAAGCGATTGAACGTTGCCGGGGCGTTAGAAAGACCCTGAGGCATGACCAGCCACTCCCAGAGCATACCGCTCGGCGTGCTCACAGCCGTGAGTGGGATGTCGCTCTCGCGCATCAGGATCTGGTAGTATCCGTCCTCCAGGTCCAGCGCGCTATACAGCGTGCAGCCGGCCATGTTGTTGAGCAACACGTCCTTGCGCGGAATCGGTGTCTGCGCAGGCACTGTCGCGCTGTTCAGCTTGTTATAAGCATGAACCAGACGCCACTTTTCGTTCGGTTTGCGAACACAGAAGGTAGGCGTCGAGTGCGGGGACTTCGACTCCCGCACCATGCCTGCCTTCGCCTTGGCGGCAAAGAAGGCATCAATGACTTCACACTGCTCCCGGGGAAGAGGCCATTGCCTCGTGACACAGTACTTCGTGCCCGGCACGAGATCGATCTCGTGCCTGATTCCCCTGTCCGGAGGGAGATTGGACGGTGGATCTTTGGACGCCACGTCCTCGAACTCCTTCACCAAGGGGTACACCGGGTCCCGGGGGTTCTTAAGAATCTCAGAGCCCATGCGCGACGCGCGCTGTCTCTGGAACTCCTCCAGGACTTCCTGGTCCATGACCGAGGACGAGTTCAACTCGGCCGACGTGGACTCCGGTCGGAGGAGAAACAACTCTGCGATCTCCCCGGCCTTTAGCTCGGCCAAGAAGTCCTCCATGGCGAGCTCCTCAAGGTTCAGCAACTCTGAAACCTCGGGCAGAGCTGTAAGCTCGACAGCTCCTGTCTTGACCCGACGACCGGTCACGCCGTCGAAGATGTGATAACACTCTTCGGCGGCTGGAGCCTTGGCTGGAGGCTCGGAGTCGCTGGCGACTGGCGTCGTCGGCCACACGACTAGGCCCGGCTTACGACGTGACCCTCGGGTGTCTTCGTCTCGTGGCGCCGCCTTGACGGCACCACCGATCTTCTCGATCTCGTGCGGAACTACGTTACCCGCCTTGTCCTTGAGCGGAACTTGGTTACCCGCCTTGTTCTTGAGCGGAACTTGGTTACCCGCCTTGCTGGGTGGGACTATGTTACCCACACCAGGAGCGCTTCCAGCGACTCCCGCATCAGTTATGGTCTGAGTGACCTCCTGTGGAACTATGTTACCCACATCGGAAGCGCCTGCAGTGCCTTCCTCATCAGTTACGGTCTGAGTGACCTCGCGTGGAACTTGGTTACCCACGCCAACGCAAGCGGCGCCTTCTCCAGCAGCCCTTGCTGCCTGCGGTACTTCGTTACCCGCGTGTGGACCTACGTTACCCACCTGGTAGGTGCTGTCCGGCACCTCCACTCTCAGGCCTTGTCCGGCCCGGTCGGAGTCGTCGTCAGTCTCGACGGACCCCAATAACTCATTAGACGCTGCTGCACCCTGGCGGCCCTCGCGGGCGCCCCTGCTGCTGCCAGAGGTGGGAACATGACTCACCAAAGCTCTGTCAGAGCGTGGGGGACGGCTGGCCCCGATGGCCTTGCCGCGCCAGTCGATCCAAGGCTCGTGTTTCTCCAGCCACGGCATGCCAAGGATCAAGTCGTACTTGTCCATGTCTAGGACCAAGAACGGCTCCGTGCTGTCGAAGTCCTCGAACTTGACAGTGAGGTCCATGTGGACCCGAGGTACTTCTACCACCGTAACGTCGGCCAGTCTTACCGAGACCAGCCCGTTGCCTTTGCTGCCCGTAGCGCATCGGCGTACTTGTCGCGATTGAGTGCGACAGTCTGGCGGTGCGCAAAGTTCTTGGACGCCCCAGAGTCGATCAAAAATTTCAAGGGATTATCGTATCCCGGTACACTCGCGTGCACCACAAGCAGCCCACCGCTGCCCTTCTCCGCTTCGAGAGTACAAAGACTCTCAGGGGCTAAGTCCCCATGGCGTGCGCCACCCGCACGCCCCTCATGAAGACTTAGTGTTTCCCCAGTAGGGCGCCCCGCCCCTACTGGTGTCCGGCGTTCCCCTGGTTCCTGGGGCGCGGCTTCTGCCAGCGGCCCCTAGAGCCAAAGGGCTTCGAAGAGAACTTCTTCTTCAGTCCTCCCGCCGGACAGGCACGTTTCATGTGCCCAAGCTTGCCACAGCCGTTGCAGCGAATGTCGCTATGCTCGGCCATGCCCAGATCCATGGGAACCGGCCCGTTGATCGCTCCATTGGCGGAGTTACCATTAGGCGCACCGCCAGAGGCAGGGTTGCTCTGCCATACCGTGGCGGGGGTACGAGCCTGCTTGTGGCTGTACTCCTCCTGGAGGGCGATCTGAATCGCCTCCTCCATAGTGTTTGCTTGCACACGGAACAGTTGCGTGCGGGCAGGACCGACACGCAGACCGTCCATGAACACGGTCACCTTGATGTGTTCAGGCAGGGGGTTCCCCACCAAAGAGGCAGTGAGCACTCGCATCTCCTGGATGCACTCATGCAGCTCGCGCCTTCCTTGTTTGCAGGCGAGGAAGCGCGAACGCTGGCGGTACTCGTAGTTCGCCGGAAGAAACGCGGCCCGCAGCTGCTCGCACAGCTGGGACCATGATGCGAAGCATCCAGGCGTCGTCGCTTCGCGCGTATACGCCCAACTCTTAGCGCGACCACTAAGGTTGGAGAGCGCAACGGCGACACGGAGTCGCTCGTCCGAGACGAGAGCCGCGTCCATCGCGAGCTCAACCTCTCGAACCCAGAAGTGAAGGTTTTCTCCTTCCTTCCCTTCGAAGGGGTGAACCTTCAGCCGCAGGGGCTTCGGTTGCACCGGCTTCGGCGCAGCCGCAGTGGCCTGCAGCCCTTGAACGTGGGCGATGAGCCCTCGCTCGTAGGTGTCGAACGCGTTGATACGCTCAACCTGCTCAGCCGGCGTCGCCGCCGCTAAGCTACGCAGGGCATCTGTCCCAAAGATGCCTGTCATCTTCCGAACGGACTCGTACTGCGAGACGCTCAGATGAGGAAACTCTCGATGAGACCACAAAGGATTCAGGTAGTCCAATCTACCCGCGTAGGCGTAGGATTGACTACAACTGCTACCAAGTGTGACGGGGCACACAGCACTTCTTAACAGAGGAAGCAGGAGTATACAAACTCCAAGTGAACAGCCGTTCACGTGTCCCTGGTCTGAAGGGGACGACTTGACTTGAAAAGCGGTAGATCTAAGACTGAATGTATTTATAGGTTGGTACAGATTTGGCCTGCATACAAATCCTAAGTTCCCTATAGTTTGTGCCATACAAAATGTATCTGTTGGCTCTGAGGCCACTTGGTCACTATCCAGGGGAGTGACCGATGTAGCCATCCCTGAAGAGTACCAGGGTCACTATTCCATGTAACCCCGTTACATACTTGGTGGTACCGTACCCTTCTCCCATCGTGAGGTAGTCCAGGTGAAGCACTTCGTTTCTCTTTGTGGCGGTCTCGGTCTCCGACCATGGTCGCTGGATCAGCTTGCCGCCCTTGATGTGCTTACATAAGAGGCACTGGTTAACGAAGTGAGAGACAACTGCTGTCAAATTCGAAATGGAGAAATGTTTCTCGAGCTGGGTGGTCATGACATCAATGCCACGGTGCGCCTGAATTCTACAATGAGCCACCACGAGAATGCGAAGCAGCAGATTCTTCGCCTGCTTGGGGATCCACAACTTCCCGTTCACGTAGACCAGTCCGTCACGATCATCAGCATTTCTTGGTCTCGAACGCTGGTAGCGAGACTGCGCCGCCTGGACAGCGTCCACTGAAGGCCACGCAAAGGCCTCATCCTGCAAGGGCCTCAGCACGCTCAGTTCTCGCTGTCCACGGGTCCGGACTGCTTTCACCTTCACCACCGTCTCAATATCCTCTCGGACGGGCCATCGCGAGACCATATCGGCCCATTGGTTGTCTTCGCCGTTGACATGGGCAATAGTGTAGCGACTCCCAGCGAGCTTCATGGCCCAGCGCTGGAGTTTCCCACGCACGTGCATCTTCATGTCGGTACTTGGGCAGAAAATTTGTATTAGGTTCGCATGATCAGTGTAAATGCGGAAGCCCAGCAGCCTCTGCAGCAAGTAGTCCAGCTCGGACACAGCATACACCACTTGATACACTTCTTTTTCCACCACCGACCACTGCAACTGCGAACCCTTAAATGAGCCACCATTGCACACCAGCAATTTATGGCTCTGCTCATGTACCGGGATTCCCTCCTTCCAGTCCTTGACTTGGGTTAAAATCACAGCCCAGCCACGGTCCGAGGCATCCGTGCTTAGGCAAACCACGGCCTCGTCAACAGGGCTTAGGCAAACCACGGCCTCGTCATCAGGGAACAGCTTCGCTGAACTTACCAGGCGCTTCAAGAAGCCTTGATACGCTGCAGCCTCTTCTTCATCCCACGAGATAGTTACACTTACAGCATGGCGCTTGCGATGGCTGTGGCCCTTCATGGCTTCATCAAACTTGGTTTGTAGAGGAGCCACTGCTCTGCCATAATCTACCACAGAATCCCGAAGCCAGTTAGCTGCGCACAAGAAGTGCTGCAGCTCAGCAGCATTCTCCGGCAAAGGAAGCGAAACCAGCGCCTCCACTCGAGCAGGATCATGCGTCACTCCTCGTCCATCGATAATTTTTCCGCACCATGAGACTGCTTCCTGGTAGACAGTGCTCTTCTTCAAGTTCAGCTTCAGGTTGAGCTCTCGCAGCCTCGCAAAGAACTCCCTCAAAACCTTCAGGTACTCTTCATGAGAAGCAGCATACAAGACGACATCATCGACGTACACAAGCAAATGGTCGTTGATTAGATCCGCAAACGCAGTCTGCATAGTCGACTGGAAATGCATGGCTGAGTCGACGGCACCTTGAGAGACTGACCACACCCTCGTCCGTCTGGAAACTAAACGGCTCACGGCTGTCCTCGTGGATCGGAAGCTGCCAAAAGCCCTTAAACATGTCAAACTTGCCCAACGCCTTCGCTCCCTTAACACACTGAGGGACTACAGCCAGATTCGGCACACTTGCAGCGATCGGAACGGTCATGCTGTTGAGGCGACGGTAATCACAGGTGATACGGAATTCTTCTTCATCAGCCTTCGGGACTGGGACAACAGCGCTTGATGGGAGCTCATCGTTGTCCTCGCCGTACACACCACTACCGTTAATGGCCAATTGCTCCATTTGGCGATCAACATCAATGCCGAGGGCAATCGGAGTCGGATTTCCGAGCAGGAACTCCTCCTCGTCATCATTGACGACAGCACAGCGGACATTAGCCACGCTGACTGGCCCGGCCGCTGTTCCCAGCATGGAGCATCTTTACGAGCCGCGTTCTTGGTCTGCTCACCACGACCCGTCGGTTTCCTCTCCGGCTTTGTCTCTTGCGACAGAAGATGGTAGCGTTGTTGCACTTTGGCTCGTGCAAGGATCAACTGGTGCAGCGCGATGTCCTCCGTCGTGGCCTCCCGATGCTGAAGCGACACCAAACGCTTGATCTCCGCTTTCAGCACGGCTGGAGCCAAATTCTCGATAATGAGCTTGCACCGGTTCTTCATCCGATCACGGTAGTCAGACCGGTCCTTACTCCCTGCAGCCAGCATAGATGCAAATCCACGTTCTTCGATGAGCTGGTCAAAGTCGACAAAGTACTTGACGACTCTAGCCTCCACATCTTGCTCATCCAGGTCCATCTTCAGGTGCGCCTTGAAGAAGTCGAACCTGTCGGGTATGTGGCCGTTCATCACTTTGCTGACCCGCTCTTGGATCTTGTCAAGGATCTCCTGGTCTCCGATCGAGTCCCGCGGCTGGCGGAAGACGTAGTGCGCGCGGTAGTTGAGCAACTTCGGCGACAACGACGAGCGTACACTTCGGAGGACTGCGTCCACGGGTTCTTGCGAGATGCGGCACCGCTCACCGATCTCTCTCAGTAGCGGCGTCGCTTGCGAAGCCACTCAACCAGCGACTCCTGGTCCAACGTCTTGAGCTCAGGGGCCTTGATAACTTCGAACACGGGGGGCGGGGCCGTCATCTCGACGTCCCCATCGGCGTCAACGCAACAACTCAGCATCCGTGGGTCTTGCCTTCTTCCACGTGCGGGGCGGTCTTCCGTCGGCCTTTCGTCAGCTGACTAACTCTTGGCCTGTGCCAAAGTTAACTTTGTGGCAACCAACTTGTTGATGAGAAAGGAAATTCAATTCTGACAGCTTAGACACATGCAAAGCTCGGTAGTCCTCGACTCCCTGCTACTCACAGGGAGACCTTCTAGTCCTGCGCTCCACGCTCCCTCTGCTGCCTTCTTGAGATGCATTTAAGAACCCCTGAGATTCAGCAACACCCACGCAAGGTTAAGCTGAACATGAACAGCATCTTGGCGAGGTTCCTGAGATTCTTGGCTGGATTCATTTTGACTCGGACTGATTCGAACAGGATCTCCCCACAACGAACTACAAACAATATAGCAGAGTACCGGGCACTGTGTGCAGGACTGAACTACGCACTCACCAACGGACTGACCGATCTCCACGTGGTGGGCGATAGCGCGATGAATATGGCGCAGATGAGGAGACGGCGTCCGCCCAGAGCGCCACATTTACGGAGCATTTGCGCGCAATGCAGAGGGATAGCAGATCGGGTCCATGTGTGCACGTGGAACCATCATTTGAGAGCCTTCAACGAGGCCGCTGACATGTTGGCAAATATCGCCATGGACGATCGCAAGAGTCGTCAGGTGTTTCGCTCGGACCAACCAACCCGGGTCCCCCGCTGGGCAGAAGTCACTCGCCTTTAAGACGGTGACCTCAGGCAATGGCGGGATGCATATTTCACTAGAGGGGCTGAAGAGCCTGACGTAGACGCCGAGTAAGGAAGACGCGACAAAGGCGATACGCAAAGTAGGAGCCCCAACCTGCTGATGACGGGTTAGCATCTGCGGGACCGGTCGTTGTAGTCGTTAGGAAGAACTGAGTGACAACAATATACCTCAATTCAAAAACAAAAACAAAAAAGACCCCGATGAGGGCGTTGAGGAGCGTTCGACGTGGGCTGTTTACCGCTGCTGCTGTCGCTGTTTCAATGTATGTGTGTAACATGTACTTTACTGCTTCAGCTGTCTGTGTGAATTTTATTAGGCGGCACGTTCTGGTTGAAGTACTAGCTGCAATTGTTGACCCCACGTGAGAGCCTTCTGCTCGTGCTCGCAACGTACTGTACAGCAGCAACAACAACGCGATTCTACATGTATATGTACACTGTTCTGTATGGTGCAGCGACACGTGAAGGGAAGAATTCTCCACAGAACTCTCCATTGTGCTGGGCGACGTTGGCTACACGTACAACAAATATCCAGCTGTATGTACTGTAGTTGCAGCGGGCTGTACATTAACGATCTGTAGTAGGTCGAGGATTTACAGACAGAACACCAACGTGGGCGCTGGAACGCCCAAAGCCATTAACATATACTATGATAGTGCTGCTTATGTTCTTCTGCTGCTCTCTGGGTAAATCCCTAACTGACGAGGCTCCCCCGAGTCTTGCCTGCCCGGTCCAGGCAGTCCAGGAAGACTATGGAGCCAGTGAAGCGTGAATAGATAAGGGTAAGGCCCTGGTCTAAGTAAAACTGTGCTGAGATTTGTACAAGGGAATGGGTTAGGCCAGCACGAGTTTGTAGGGAAAAGTTAGGGAGCAATGAACTCGGGAGCATTGGAGCAGGAAAACTACAGCACGTGGTGTTAGTGCCTGCGTAAAATACGCCCAGAATATCTTTAGAGAATGCTTGAAATAGATCCCGATAAGTGTACGAGGGCGGTCTATCCGCGCATTGAGGATGACGACGCCGAGCACTTCTCCTTCGACCATATCTCTTCGCCGAGCCATGGTTCGTGTCATTCAACCGCACGGACCCAGCCGACGGCCCTCGCAGACATTGTTCTTGGATCACACCTCGCCTGCTGTGGCAGCACACAGCTCATCATCGACCACATATACTATACCCGCGCCGCCCCAGCTCGAGTACGAAAGTGCAGAAGCTGCCGAGGCATCCATCCATGAGTGGACGAAGGATCACAGCTTCAACGTATCCCGCAGTCAACTCGGCAGAAATGCGAACGGTCAGATTCGGTACCGGTTGTTCGCGTGCGTCCACGCCAGAAAACCAAAAAACAATTGGAAGATTGCAGATGCAGACCGCCAGCGCCTAATGGCTACGTCGAAGCGAGACGAATGCGGCATGCGCATCAGCTCAACGACAAGAAGAAATACTCGATTTGGTCGATCTCCAGGCCAAGGCTGGTGTTCCGACGGCTAAGATTTTTTCCACGCTGGTGCTGTGCAACAAGGACACTTTGGCCATTCCACAGGATATATCCAACAGAAAGAAGAAGGCTCGTACGCAGCTTCTGGCCACGCAGACCAGCAATGAGGCCCTGTTCAGTTTGCTCGCTAAGAACAAGTTTCACTACACCTACGAGACCGATCCCTCTTCCAACCGACTGCGGTACTTGATGTGGGCGCACCCTGACACCACATTGCTTGCCTGGCGCTTCATGGACATCATGGTGATGGACTGCACGTACAACACGAACATGTTCCTCATGCCGTTGTTGAACGTACTGGAATGAATACCATTCTGCCCTTTGCGCAAATATGGATGCCTGGTGAAGCGGAGCCCGACTTTATCTGGGCGCTGTCGACACTGAAAGCCTTCATGATCGAACAATCCGTGCCAATGCCAAAGGTAAACGGTACAGACCGAGACTTGGCGTGCAACAAGGCTTCGGACACGATTTTTCCTATGGCTGCAAACCTGTTATGCCGGTGGCACATTCGTCGTAACGTCCTTGCCCAGGCGAAGAAAAAACTTGTCGTTGCTGAAGATGATGATGCAGATGCCACCGCCGTGCAGAAGAAGCATGACCTTCAGGTTGATATTTACATGGCTAAGTTCGACGATGCTATCAACGCCGCCAGCGTAAGTGAGTTTGACAAGCTCTGTGCCGAACTGCATGCACTTAGTCCGACCGTGCAGAAATACCTCACCAGGACATGGTGGCCATACCGAGCCAAGTTTGTGAGCGCGTGGACCAACCAGTACAGTCACTTTGGCTGCCACACCACGTCCCCTGTTGAAGGAGCGCATGCAAAGATGAAACAGTGGCTGGACAACTCTCGGGGTGACTTACTCGCGGTTTTCCAGAACCTGTTGCCGTGGTGGATGAAAGCTGCATGGACCACGAAATATCATCTGGCTGCTGCTGCTCCGGATACGGCGCGTGGCCATGAAGCTCGGCCCGAAGGCCAGCGAGCTGGTTTCGCAGCGAGTCGTAAGACGACAGGTCGGCTCGACGACCCACGCGGCCATGGAGACTGCGAGTTTCTTGATAGAGCGAGGCAACATCCTCACGGAGCCGCTCCACGGCACCAGGCTGACCAGCACGAGCGGCAGCCTCGCCACCAAGGCCGACGCCAAGCGCGATCTCGAGGACGTACACACGGTCCCGGAGAAGACGAATCTCCTCTTGCTGCAGGGCCACCACCTTACTCGGGGCCCCAGCATACGGCTGCATCGCCTCAGGCTCGTAGCCATGGCCGTGCAAGGCCACCGCCGGCCCTCCTTGATCGTAATGGGCAGATCCACTACCACGTGGAACGAGTCGTCCGGGAGCGGCGGCTCCATGGCAAGCGCCAGCTGCTCGTGAAGTGGAGGGGTTACCCTGAGTCGGATAACTCGTGGGAGCCCGTTGAGCAGCACCAGGCAGACTGCCCGGAGGCTGTTACGATATGGGACGAGAAGCAGCGGCAGCTTCGTAAGTAGTCCTTGGCTTCTTGGCCGGTACCCGGGGTACGGTAGCAGACGTAGTCGCACCACGCCCACGCTCTTCACGAGCTTTGGCTCTCGCCTCTTGCTTCAGCTCGTCCATCTTCGAGTGGAGCATGCGCTTGCTCACGAGTAGAGCGAACTCGATGCGGAGCTCGCGCAAGTCCAGGATAGCGGACAGAGTGCGATCCTCACGGAGTTCTTTGAACTCTTGGTCGGAATACCCTTTGCGCTGGACATAGCGCCAGAAGCGGTCTTCCACCTCGTTCCAGGTCATGTTCTCATTCGGCTTGACCCGGTGGTAACCCCACACAGGATGGAGTCCACCCTTGTCCTCCGGCTTCTTGCGAAGCGTGGTGAACTCCTTCAGTGTGAGCTTGTGTGGTGGTAGTAGCACACACCGGGCGGCTTCTATGTCGCCAAGAAAGAGTGGCTCCTTCTCAACGAGAGCACGCTCATAGGAACCCCTCGAGCTGTACCCGCCGATAAGGCCACGAGGGGCCGAGAGCTTCTCCAACAGCGATGGCGCACCAGTGCCAGGCTCGGGCGGGAAGTAGCCCTGCGGGTACGTGGCATCCCCGCCTGACGAAGACTCGACAGCAGGCGCGGCAGCCGACTGCCTGGCGTGTACCCCCGAGCGAGCAGCGTGGTATTGCTCCTGCTGCTCGTCGAGGTCGTTGGAGAGCTCCTTGGGCTCATGGACGGCACCCTCCTCGTCCTCAGACTCCGAGTCGCTGAACGGCTTGGAGCTGGAACCGCGAGGCGACCTGGAAACGGAACGCTTCTTCGCCCTGGCCTCTTCGGCCTTCGCAGCGGCAGCCGCCTTCGACGCTTGGGCACGCTCACGACCTTGTGCCAGCGTCAGATGCTTGGGTGGCGACACCGGGCTCGTAGCCCGCGTCGCTCGGCGACTTCTCGGCCATGTCCTCCGTGTCGGCCATGACGACGTCGTCTTCTTCCGCCTGCTTGCTGTCGCCGGCGCCGGCGCTGGACTCGACGTCCTCGGCCTCCTCCTCGGACGGAGCCTTCGGGAAGGACGGAGAGCTGGGCGCGCTGCTCGCCGCCAGTGCTTCGTCTTTGGCAGCGTTGTCGCTGCCCTCGGGTGAGCTCTCACCGGAATGCACAACCAGCGTGCAGTTCTCGCTGTTGGCCGACCAGTCGAAGGCCGGCTTGGCCTGCTCCGACTGGGGCCGAGAGCTCTCCTCACCACTTGGCGTGGCCTCGGGAGTCTTGCACCGCCTCCGAGACCGGCACCCGCCCTCCGGCGTGCTGCCACGAGAGCGCACCGCCTCCTCGGCCGCCTTCGTGGCCTCCATCAGCGCGGACGACTCGTCCTTGGCCTTGGCCGCCCTGGTCTTCGGCCCTACGCCCGCGGTTTCAAAGGTGCTTTCGCGCTGCGCGCACTGCGCTTTGGAGGCATGCTTCCGGTCGACGTGGAGACCCTGCGGCTTGCTCGGCGATGCGCCAGCTGCTCTGTGAGGCCCGGGAGCCGAAGCGCCAGAGCTCGCGCCGTTGTCGATGGATTTCGACTTTGCGAGTGAAATGTGAGTCGCCGGCGTAACCTCGCTCTGATTGGTCGATAAGGTCGAATCTAAGTGGGGGAGGATGTAAGAGCCTGTACGCTACGTAGCTGGAGATGGAGACGAAAACCAAAAGTGTGACCGGATTGGTCAAAAGTAGGTAGCACACAACAAGACAACTAGAGATGGCACTGTGAATTCGTCTCCAGCACTTTGAGGTGGAGAGGGGCGGATCTACCTAGAGATTTACAGGGCCAGGCACAACATGGGAGACGAAGATGCAATTGTCCTCGCTGCGTGCTCCGCCGTGGCACAGGCTGTGGCTTTGTATGCAGACAGTTGCGAACCAGGACCTCCTGCTGGCAAGAAGAACCGTTTTACCGTCACCACTCTGCGCTTCGAGTCGATGCTTCAATCATCAGCCTATTCAAGCTGGTTCGAGACCAATCTGCGCTGTACGAGATCCACCTTCTTCCGTATAGCTAGCTTTCTACAAGAGCATGGGGTCGCTTTTGCACAAGCTAAGGTCAAGAAGCATTCCTACGAAAAGAAGGTGGCAGCCGCGCTGGATTTCCTGGGCTCAGCGGGTGGATATCGCGAGGTGGGAGCTGCAATGGGCATGGCTAGAAGGTACGTCATGGAGATCACTACGAAGGTAGACGTTAGAAGCTCCTTTCAGACGAGACTTGCCTCGGTCCTGTGCTGCTTGCGATGCGGCCGAGGCTTGCAGACACTCGAGCATGCGAGATGGAGCGGGAGTAGGCTCTGGCGTAGCAGACATCGCCACTGATACTTGAGCTAGCGGAACAAATGTGGATGCAGTCTCGGCGCCTTCTAGCAGCAGACCTTCATCACCGGCAGATGGTGTCAGCGAGACGAGGGGCTCGGACGCTGGCGTTTCGTCATGACGTGCGGGGGGGCGCAGGAACCGAAGAGCCTTGAGCAGCGGCATGTGCCGCACGCGTGGCCGCACTGGTGAGGCGAGTCGGCATTTTCTCAAGTGGGGAGGAGAGCCATCCCATATCTGCCCTGTGATTGGCTTAAAATTTGTCTGGAGATGGATACATAGCGAACGAGCTGTAGGTGGAGATCAAGCACCATCTCCATCTCTAGTACAACGCGAACAGGCTCTAACGGGGTTACATGGAATAGTGATCCTGTTACTTTTCAGGGATGGCTACATCGGTCACTCCCCTGGATAGTGACCAAGTGGCCTCAGAGCCAACAGATACATTTTGTATGACACAAACTATAGGGAACTTAGGATTTATATGCAGGCCAAATCTGTACCAACCTATAAATACATTCAGTCTTAGATCTACCGCTTTTCAAGTCAAGTCGTCCCCTTCAGACCAGGGGCACGTGAACGGCTGTTCACTTGGAGTTTGTATACTCCTGCTTCCTCTGTTAAGAAGTGCTGTGTGCCCCGTCACAAAGTATGTGTTGGTTCTGAAAGATGAGCTCACTCATTATTGTGAGTTAGTCGCACGTGATGCACCTACGAGCGATGTGGCTGTGATCGCAATTCTGGACTGGCACAAGCGATTCGGTCTTCCAGCCAAATGGGCCACTGACAATGGTAGTCATTTCCGCAGTGCAGTGATGGCGGAACTCGCGACAAGATTGCGCGGACTGCAGAGCTTTGTACCTGTGTACACGCCATGGATCAATGGTACCGTGGAGAGAATCAATCGGGACATACTACAAGTCGTGCGTGCTTTGTTGCTGGAGCTGCGTTCCGATACACGCAGTTGGAAGTACCTGTTGCCCGTCGTTCAAGCGAATTTGAACCAAACACCTGTGGCTTCGCTCGGGAACAAGTCTCCGATGGAGCTTCTTACTGGTCTGCCCCCATCGACCCCTCTCGAGACTTGTATGGTTCCTGACAGAGCCGAAGATTTGCTTGACGTCGATCTAAGCAATGTGGAGGGCTTCCTCAATCGACTACGTGAGAGCCTTCACGCTACGCAC